CAAGATGCAGTTCCTGTCCTGGGAAAGCCTGAGCTCTCAACCCTGACTGCAGTCAGAATCTTCTGGGGGTGATTTGTAAAAATACCAACATTTCATACCCACCTCCAGTTGTTCTGATTTCACTGGTCTGAGTTCAGGAGAGACTGGGGCTTGGGTTATAAACGCTCTCCAGGTGTTTCCAGTAGACATGTGGGCTGAGAAGCGGAGCCCAGGCTTTAGGCCTATGTGTCCTAGAAGCTCCCCGCTGAGGCCAGCGTGACCTCTCAGCAGACCACCTTCTCAAAGAGGGTCCTCTTGAAGGGCTCTTGCAATATTTTCCAATGGGTGGGCTAACTTGGCAGTTCTCAAATTTGGATTTGCTTTAAAAAAAAAAGTGAAATGTCCATCATAAAGACAGATTCCTGGGGCCCCATTCCAAGCAGCCTTCATTCTAAACAAACTCTGCAGTCTCAGGCATTGAGAAAACCCAGGGGAGTAAAAGTGAGTTTTTTGAACCACACCTTTGACCAAGAAGTCATTTCTGACCCAAAGACTTCTTCCATGGTGTTTCAGATCCCATTATCTCTCTTCCCTTTTTCTGCCTGGAATTGATCTGTGTTCATGGTGATAAAGTTTTGACTTATAATCTGTTCATAGTCATAAAGGGTTTATTTTTAAAAATTGGAAAATTCAGGTGAATAAATAATAAAAATCAGTGTACGTGTGGCTTAAGTCGTAGAGCACCTGCCTAACAAGCGTGAAGCCCTGACTTCAAACTCTAGTACCACCAAAAAAAAAAAAAAAATCTCCATTCCCACAGCTGTTACTGTGTATTTATACCCTGCTAAGCATCTTCTCTACAAATGTCTTGAATTAGGAGACTGTCCTTCTCCATGAATGTTTTTAACAGCCCTTTCTCACTTTAAGGGCGATATATAGTGATTCTATAGCCCTCACCCAAATTCCTCACTGTGTCACCAAAGTGACCAGTTTAGTCCTTGCCACGGAGTAGAGTGTTCATAAAGTCCTGCAATTCTGGGAAAGAACAGATTGGCCTTCTAAAGAAATCGGTGTCCAAGTTGCTACACAGGATGTCCAGGCTTGCAGCAAAGACAGTCTGCTGTAGGGACAGCGCCTGCCTTACTTAGAGCTAAAGCCTGAGAGGTACTGCCAAGGCTCGGCTCAGAAGTAAGGGAAAACGACTTGCTGATGACAGCCTGAGTGGCTCTCAAACTAGGAGCCCAATGGGGGCTGCGAGGGGAGTTGGCTGCTCTCTTTGGAGTCGGAAGGTCGTTGCTCAACTCTTTGGATTTTCCATCACAGCAGAGCAGGGAAAGGGTCAGGCGGGGAATGTCTCCTCTGAGCAGATCCTTTTAAAGCCTCTTGGCTGGACTGATTTCCTCTCAAGAGCCAAACAAGCAGTGCCCAGTGAAGTTAACCCCTCCACTCCCAATGGACTCACCCAGCAATGGATAGGCCCAGGAGACCTGGCTCCTGGAAGGCAGAGCTACACAGGGCAAGAGGCCTAAGGAGCCGAGAACTCTGGCTGGAGAAACCTTCCCTCTGGCCTTGTTAAGTCCAACGGGCATAATTGCATCCTGCTGACCTTAATTCCCCTGGCAAGTTTAATTGGTCCTGGCATTGCCCTACTTCCTGTTCTGTCCCTGTAGAGGCGCAGGGTGTCTGCACAGCTGGTGAAAGGTGGGAAAGCCCCTTCTTAAGGGTAGGCAGGGGTTCTGGCAGCCCCTAGCTGGATGGAGGTTTCCTCTTACCCCACCCCTGTGCCTCCAAGGGAGCACTGAGAAGTTTGGGGACTCCCAGAGAGCAGCTGGCTAGAGGAAGCAATCCCATGGATGGATCAGTACCAGGCCAGCCTCCCATCCCTGCAGAAGGCACTGCAGTGGAGCAGAAAGGGACTGCTGGGCCCTCTACCTGCAAGTGGTCCTCCACATTATCGAGCCCCAGGACCCTACACAGATGTGCAGACCAAACACTCCCAGCCGCCCTGTCAGCAAGCAGCAGAGTGGTTATGAGCTAAGCCTTGGGTTAATAAGATGATTTTACCCTGTGACTCAGTTTTCTTGCCACATCTATGAAATAGGGAAATCCTGTACACCCGTACACTGCTCTAGATGCTTTATAGCCCTCTTCCCCCACTTACTCCTGTACCGGAAACCATTGGAGTCACTAGTCAAGCCCATAGCTGTTGGTCTTAGCACTTCCCTGTCTACTGAGCAGGGCTGTCATAAGGATTAAAAATGGAACACTTATTAAGCTATTTGCCCCAGCACCTGGTTCTTAGGGTTAGTTGTTTTTATTTGAGGATCCTAACAGTAATAAAAGTAGTAAATAAAGCCCTATAAGTTGTCCTAGCCTAGATTTTGGTCTCAATGAAAGGTGGCTCTGGATTTGGATCTGAGTAGTTTGAAGCCACTCAGGCTGCTGTGACTTTGGGGATAGGCCACTTAATCTTCTCTGAGCATTAGTTTCTGTATCTTTAAAATGCTTTGACTCTTGGCCCCTAGAGTCCATTGTGAGGGCCCAGGGAGCTGGGTAAAGCCCTTGGATTAGTCAGGCCTGGCCTTTCTTAGGTCACTCTGGCTGACTTATCTGAGGTTGCATTGATAACCACAGTAATAGCCAGAGATGCCAGCAAGGGCTATCACAGAAAAGCAATCCCAGGAACCCCAGGCCAGAGTCTGGCTACTCACCCAGATATTACTTATCAAATACTGATTGACAGGCATGCTCTGTGCTGGGGAAACACATGAGCATCATGCGTCCAGAGGGTCAGCCCATAGTGGGATCAGGGTGGGGCACTGAGGGAAAGGGATTGGGTGGGAGTTGTCTAACATTTCAAGAGGTCTCAGTCATAGGCAAGGACAGGAAACACTTCAACCTTCAGAATGCAGAGCTCCACATAGGTTAACCAGCAGGGAGCAGGGGGCGAGGCACATACAGGGAAATTTTAGGAAGGAAAGAAGTCTTGGAAGAAGTGTATTCTTAATTCTCTATGTTTGTGTGTGCATATGTGTGTGTGACTGCACACACGTGTGCTGCAATGCTGGGGATGGACCCAGGGCCTGATGATGGCGCTAGGCAAGTGCTCTAGCAGCCCTAGCCTTCCCTTCTTTGCTGATGAACGTTAGGCAAGTTACCCATTCTTTTACTCTCCTTATCTGCATCCAGAAACTCCCACAGTTATTTAGCAGGTTGATGTGTAAAGACAAGACAATAAAGACAATAGTGGGCACTCGTGAATGGAAGTTCCCTTCCTTTTGAGAATCAGGGCCCAGCTCAGTCCCTCATAAGCCACGTGATTTTGGGTTGGTTACTTCATTTCATCTAGTCTCAGTTTCCCCTTCTGTAACAGTACCTACCTCAAAAGGGCATGAGCAATCTACACAAGAGCCCTGTTGCATGGCAAGTACCTATATAGGCCTTAGTTATTTTTGCTTCCTGGAAGAGGCAGGAATTTGGACCTTGAAGAAGAGAGATAGAGGAGAGGAGGGCCAGGCCTAGAGAAGAGGGTCAGACTGAGCCACATGGTCAAGACTGGGGAGGAAGCTCCAACTCTGTTTTTTTTCTTGCTTGTATCAAGAGCCTTTAACATTTGCTGCTTTGGAAAAAAAATCATTCATTTTCAAAAGTTCATTGTTCAAGCAAAACAGTAAAAAGGGGAGGGCCTGTAATCCCAGCTACTTGGGAGACAGAGGCAGGAGACCAGCCCAGGAAAAGTTAGCATAAGACCCTATCTCAAAAACAAAATAAAAACAAAAGAGCTGGGGACGTGACTCAAGTGGTAGAATAAACTGAGGATCTGGGTTCAATCCCTAGTACTGAAAAACAAAAAAGTAAAAGGGTACACAGTGAGGTCTCCCTCCTACCCCAGCGCCCAATTACTTGCTTATCCTGGCAAAGAAACTATAACGTGTATAAAATGAAAAAAATCATATTATCTGCCCCTCTTGCACAAATGACACATCTACATGCTATTCCACACCTAGCATTTTCTTCCCCACCTTGGAGATTTCACATCAATTCATTAACAACTTCCTCCTCTCAGCTCCTCCATTTCTCCATCACTGAGACATGCCTCATTCTCCTTTCTTTGTCTCCTCTCCCTTCTTTCATGTAAAGGTAGGGACTAGTTTCCTCATGTGACAAAGGAGCAAGGCCATGGTGTGGAGTGCAATGACTGGATGGTTTACCATGGTCAGGGCCTGAACCCAGACGCCCATTGCACACAACTTCCAATCACTCAGCTCTAGCTAGTTCAGGGAAAGTCTGGGCAGACAACCTCTGGGAGACAGAAGGCTCCATTGCATCCCAGCTGGAATACCTGAGGCTGAGGTGCCCTGAGGTCCCCGTTTTAGTGAAGGATCCTTGAAAAGACTTCACCACGACCACTCTTCCTGACAGGCATCAGCTCTGCCCAGATGATGGGTACAGAGCACTGACCATCTCCCACAGTCACTCAGACAGCCTCGAATGTCCCCCCCCCCCATTAAAAAATGATTTTCCAGAGAAAAAGCTTTCAGGCCTTGGACACACTGAGCAAGTGACCCTCAGACAATTTCTTACCCAAAGATGGTCCAAGTAGGTCTGGATACCAGAGGCACAGAGTTGGGCCCTGGGGTCAGGGTCATTATCCCTGGGCTTGCGTGGCTCTCCCCAGGTTCTGGGGGACCTTAGGAGATGTGGCATGAAGGTGGGCAGAGCCAAGGCCAGGCCTGGACACGGTCCTGCCCTTTCAGCCCTGCCTGAGAGCCCCTCTCTGATCCCATCCAAGTTGGGGATACTGGGCAAGGCCTAGGGAAAGGGCTGCTCCCCAGGGCCCCAAGTGCCCCCCTCCCTTTTCTCTTCCTGCTTGTTCCAGCACCATTCTACCCCCAGTCAGGCCGTGGGAAGAATGCCGTGTCCTCTGAACAGGGGCCAAGAGTGACAGGTGGTGGCAGCCCGGGCTGCATGGCCCCTGGTGTAAGAGATCCTCTTCTCCGTCCCCGCCTCCACTGCCTACACCCCTGCCTCCGCCTCTGCCCACCCGGCCCAATCTCTTACAACTGTCCCAGGACTGCTTCTGAGCAGCTTCTGAGACAGGCAGCCACCAGGTTGCCCCTTCCTGCTCCAGGTATGTCTCTCCCCTCAGTTGCCTGGCCTTCACCAGCCTGTTGCTATAGCCAGACAAGGCAAGGCATCTGACAGCCTGACAGACCTCATTCTTCTTTCTGCAGCTAGAAAGACTTGAATTAGACAAGCAGAAGCACACGCCTCCCTGCCTCATGGCAACAGAAAACGGAGCAATCGAGCTGGGAATCCAGAATCCATCCACAGGTGCCAAGCTGGGGCAGTGGAGGGAGGGAGGAGCCTAGGAAGGGGTGTTTGAGTTCCTCAGAGGGAATTCTGTGGCTGAGGTGTCTTTGCATGGTGCATGGGGGACTCAGGAATCAGAATGATCTCTGGGCGGGGTTGGGCTGGGTCAGCCCTCATGAAGCCCTCATTGGAGAGACAGGAAGGATGTGCAGCCTCCCTGGATGGCTCTTGGGGATGCAGCTAGACACTGTGAGGAGGGGAGGGAGAAGCAGCAAAGCCCACCCAGAAAGGGCAACCAAGTGGCCCCAGAGGCTCAGTGAGACTTACATTTCCAAGTTACTACCTGGTCCAGACCTGGGCCTCTCTGCCCAGCCTGGCTGGGAAGGGAGAAGAATGAGGGTGGGTCCTGATGGGTGTTTCATCTCCTTTGCAGACAAGGCACCGAAAGGTGCTGCAGGTGAAAGAACTCAGGCGGCAGAGAAAGACCCCAGCCCCCTGGACAAAGAGAAAGACCCCGGCTCCCCAGACCCAAAGAAAGATCCAGATCCATCTTCCCTGAAGAAAGATGCCAAAGCCCCTGTCTCAGAGAAAGGGGATGGTGTCCCAGTCCAACCCTTAACTAGCAGCCAGAGCCCTGAGGGAGAGGGTGATGGGGGTGGGGGACCCGCGGAGGGCAGTGCTGGGCAGCCAGCAGCCCTGCCCCAGCAGACTGCAACAGCCGAGGCCGGTGTCAAGAAGCGTAATGCTGAACAGGGACCGCTAGGCAGCCAGGGCGTCCCTGGAGAGTCCAAGGTGGGCAAGAAGGCAGCAGAGGGCCAAGCAGCTGCCAGGAGGGGCTCACCCGCCTTTCTACATAGCCCTAGCTGCCCTGCCATCATCTCAAGGTGAGTGTCCCCTGCCTGGAAGTGGGAGGGGTCTGTAGCTCTGCTCCCCTGTGTTGGGCATGGTTGCCATCACATTCAGTGCTGGGGAGGGTAGTACTGACATTCAACAGCTTCTGTCCTACCACCTTGTCCCTTCAGAAACCAGCACTTTCCTGTTCATAAGACCATAATGTCAGACAGGATATTTCCCCAAAGACTGCCCATGCTGAGTTTCTCTGCTCTCCTCTCTACGTCTCCCGGGTCCAGAGCTCCCCCTATTCCATGGGCTTGAGTCTAGCAAAAGGCAGGCTGAAATGTCAGAAGGAATTTGTATAATGATTGGTCTGATATGAAAAGAGTCTTTTCCTAACCGTAATACAGCACCAGTTTTATGATGCAATTAGTTATGCACACCTGATGCGAATAAGGTCATTAGTGATATATTATAAACCACAATAGTAATACATCTACCATACCAATTTGATAATTATGCATTCATATCAATTATATGGCCACAGTTTTTATGAATCAAGAGCTCCAAGCACATCACCAATCTTACTCATAGTTATTACTGACTTATCAGTGTGTTGTTAGTCAAGGCAATATCACAGCCGTGCCTTGATTCGGACAAAGTGAACGTGGATGTATCAGGGAGGAGGGGGTGCAGTGTTGCATTACCTGCAGGGTTGCATTACCTCCAGATTGCAGGTGAGGTTCTGGAAGCATGGAGGTCTCCCTGAGGCACTTTACCGCTGTTCTCACTTTCTAGCTCTGAGAAGCTGCCAGCAGAGAAGCCCCTCAGTGAGGCAGCAGAGCTCATCTTTGAAGGGGTGCCCGTGACCCCTGGCCCCCCAGATCCTGGGCCAGCTAAGACAGAAGGAGGGAAGAACACTCTGGCGGGGAACCAGAAGGAAGCAGCACAGAAAGCCCCAGGCCAGGCTGGCCAGGCTAAGGAGCAAGGGGACACCTCGAGGGGGATCGAGTTCCAGGCTGTTCCCTCAGAGACATCAGAGGTGGGGCAGGCCCTCTGTCCCACAGCCAGGGAGGAGGACTGCTTCCAAATTTTGGGTAGGCCAAGGGCAGGGGCTGCCCTGGGGATGTGGGAGAGGGAAGGGGTTGATCAGTCCCATTTAGGGTGCTGCCTTCCCCAGGTCTAAATGTGACACAGTCCAGGAAGTATTTCCTTTTGGTAGAAATGGAAAAGGGGAAATGAAATGCCTTAAAATATAGTGAAGACATTCAAATTACAGAGCCCACTTTTAGCCTAACTAAAATGGGTTTTAAAAACAAATCATGCAGATAATTGGAGCAATACAAACAAAATTGGGTCAGTCTGTAAAAGGACTCAAAATGTCAGACTTTTCTAAAGTACATGTTGCTGGGGGTGGGGGGTATGGGAGCCATAGAGGGTTCATGAGTGGAGGAGCACAGGTGTAGGTGCTCAGACAAAGAGCTGGTTTCATTCAGTGGGCAGCAGAGAACTGAATGTGAGAGAGCTTGGGGAGCCAGGGAAGAGGGAAAGGGTGCAGCAGGGCTGGGAATGGGGTGACATGGGGTCAGGAGAGCCCAGAGTGTCCTGACACCCCCTCCTCCAGGCAGAGGTGCTCTGGGAGACCTGCCAGTCTGCCTGGTGAGCGGCATAGTGCCACCCAGACTGGGTGGGAGGGCCTGGCGGCTGGGCGGCAGCCAGGGGCCCTGCCTCCTGCCCCCAGCGGCGACAGAGACCTCTGCCCCGCCCAGAGATCACATCCTCAGCGTGACAGAGCCTGAACCACCTCCAAGGGCCGTCTGATTTATCACCAGCCCGGCTTCCCTGCCGCCTCTGGCTATTTATAAAGAGGTTTCCATTCCAGATGACTCAGTCTAGGACCTCAGGGCCCGCTGTTCCCCACTCTGGTCACTAGATGGCAACCTCTCCCCGTTGAACAGTTGCCGGCTTAGCGTAATCAGAGGAGATGGGCAGATCGCACAATCGCCCCATCATTCATACACAGCAACCCCACTTCATGGTTGCTGTGTGTGTTTGTATGGTTGCATGGTTGTCTTCAGTGGAAACACATATAGCTTCGGATGGAGGTCTCATACCTTACAATGTGGGAGGATCTGGGAAGTCCAATCTGCTATTTCTGTCAAGAGAAGCTGGATTCCTTCTGATAGGGCAGGCACCTTCCAAGGCCATTTTGGGTATCAGTAACAGAAATGAAATTAGAAACTGGGCCCCCTACCCCCCATCCTGCAGCCAGGTGTCCCCCAGGCATCATATGGGAGACCCAGGCCAGACAGCAGGGGTGGAGTCAAGGTGAATCCCCAGGAGCCCTGACAATGACCCCTGTTCCGCTTTGCCTCCCCAGATGACTGCCCACCGCCCCCAGCACCCTTCCCACACCGCATCGTGGAACTGAGGACCGGAAGTGTCAATAGTGAATTCAGCATGAACTCCAAGGAAGCACTGGGAGGGTGAGAGGGGGACCCCAATCTGGGATGCATGTGCGGGAAATCAGCCAGTGCCAACCCCAACCCATATATCCCATTAGGAGATGGCCCATATGGATGGATGGCTTCTGTGCAGTCACACCTGTAGTGCTCCAGCTGTCACGTGCTGATATGCACTGTGACTGTCACTTGCAGAGGCATCATTCAATGTTCCCATAGGAAATAGTATTTTCCTGTCTGTCTCCACTCCAGGCACCACAATAACCCCTTAGGACAATTTCTGCTTTGTAAAAAGCCCTGGTTCTGGCTGGCACCTCTAACAGCTCCCTACCACCCACAGGGACCTCCCTAGGGCCCCTACCCTCTGTACTCTGTAAGGATCCTTTCCAGAGCTGTCCTCAGGGGAGCCTGCTCTGCCCATTACTCAGAGTCTCTGCCTCTAGCCATTGTCCTGGCATGGATCCTGACTTCATGAGGAGGTGGGCTGGCAGGGGTGACTGCTCCTACCTCCCAGAGGATGACCATAGCCAGAACTGGGCCTGGGACCAAGATGGGAAAGGAGCACAGGCCCCTGCAGACTCCTTGGTCTTCACAGCTCCCTCACTCCTACCTCCTCTCTCCAGTGGCAAGTTTGGAGCGGTCTGTACCTGCACAGAGAAGGCCACAGGCCTCAAGCTGGCAGCCAAGGTCATCAAGAAACAGACCCCCAAGGACAAGGTAGTGGGGGAGAACAGGCTCTACAGGTGGGAGGGGGTTCCTGGATGGGCGCCTCTCACCTCCTCCCTCCACCTGCGCAGCTAGGCCCAGGGCCTGGTGTGCAAAACTTGTTGCACTGAAGATGCCACAAACTAGATGTCCCAGTTAGTGAACTTCTCTGGTGACTTCTTCAAAGCACGGGCTGTTCATGCCTTCTGGAGCAGTTCAACAACACTCATGAGTGTGGGTTCTGGAGGTCAGGCCCTGTGCTGGGCAATGAGGTCCCTAAGTGCAGTGGATGTGGCCCCTGCCCTCTGGGAGCTGAAGCCAAGGTGATAAAATCCTGTCTAGAGCTTTCCTTGTGCCCCCAGCATGGGTCGGGCTTAGAGGCCAAAAGCCATTCTTGTCCTAGGAATGAGTGACTGAATGCAGGCAGAGGCTCATGTGGAGTGTGGGGCAGGTGTGTGATGAGATGAGGATAGCTTGGCAACCCAGTGTGATCAGAGCTGTAATTCAGGGATCCTGGAGGGTCTTGGGGTGGGGGGTCAGAGGCAGCTCTGACTCAGGTTGGGGTCCAGGAAGTTTCCTGGACCAGCTTCTCCAGAGTGAAGGTTTTGCAGAATGAGGAGGTGTTCCAGTGGAGAAGGCAGAAAGAGAATATCAGGCAGAAGGGACCCTGGAATTATAACTCAGTGCTGTAGCACTTTCTTAGCCTGCTCAAGGCCCTGGGTGCCATCCCCAGCACCACAAAAAGGAAGGAAGAAAAGAGAGAAAGAAAAGAAAGAAAGAAGGAAGGAAGAAAAGAAAGAAAGAAAGAAAGAAGGGAAGGAGGGAGGGAAAGGAAGGGAAGAGAAAGGGGGAAGGGAAAGACAGGAGAAGAAAGAGTAGGAGAGGAGAGGAAAAGGTAAGGAAAATAAAAGTTGGGGGTATAGCTCAAGTGGTAGAGTGTCTGCCTAGCAAGTGTGAGGCCCTGAATTCAAACCCCAGTACAGTCAAAAAGAAAAAAAAAAAGAAAGGGACTGTGGGAGGAAATATCTGAGGGCCAGGACTAGCAGGGGTGCTAAGAAGCCAGGTTATGGGTGTTGCAGACAAAGCCAGTCATGGGTGCACAGGGCCAGAGCTGAGAAGCAGCTCCAGAGTCCGTGCAGGATCCCGGAGTCCCTTTGTGGCATTAAGCACAGTTGGAAGGAACGTATTTTCTGGGTGGCTTTGTCCTGCTCTGTCTCTTCCACAAGCTGGGGCCTGGATCTGTATAGTGACTGCTGTTGCTAGGCCTCTGTCACAGGGCCTGGTTCAGCATAGATGATCAATAACTATGTACTGCATGAATTTACTGTAGCCAGCTACTGATTAATTGATCATTGAATGTTTTTCTATGCTGTTCACTGTGCCAGGTACTGGGAAAATGTCAGTGAACTGAGGAAGTCCCTGCCCTCATGGGGCTGACATGAGGGACAGACAGCTAAAAGCTAAAATAAAACAAAAGGCGTAGTGTTAGGGACTGGAGAGTGCTAGGAAGAAAAAGAAAAGCAGGGAAGGAATGGGGACTGTGGGAATCATGGTGCCACTTTAGATGGGGTGGTGGGACAAGGCCTGTCCTAAAAAGTGGTAGGTGAGAGCTGAGTGAAGGGATGGATTCAAGGGAATAGAGGTGCCATCAGGTAGCCTTGCCATGCCTAGTGCCCAAGGTAGAGCAGTGCAGGGAGAGGCCTGTCATTTGCACCAATGTCCGTGGTGTAAATCTTCCTACTATAGCTGATATCCACCCACCAATGTAGCAAGTGACTTGTGACAAATGGTAGAGGGTAGTGACAATGGCGGGGTTTATAGTCTAGTTTGAAGGTAGGCTTCACCAAAGGGTTCACTGAAGAACTGGATGTGGGGCATGAGGAAGAGAGAGGAAGAGGAGAGCCTGAGATAGTGCCCAGCTTTTGTCCTGCATGTACCTGGGGAAAGCCTAGTGTCCTTCTGCTGATGGGCAATCTGGGGACAGTTCAGTTGGGGCAAAGAGGTGACATCAAGGGTTTAAATTAGGGCACTAGAGAGCTGAGATCTAGCCATTTCTCTTAGACATCCAAAGGATGTCTGGATATAGGCAGCTGGATATACTGGAGTCTGGAGCTGGAGGGAGAGCTCGGAGGCAGAGATATGGAATTGGAAATTGATCACATTTGCATAAGATGTAGTCATGGGCTTGTAGTCACAGATGCCCAGGAAGCAGTCACAGGGAGGCAGAGATGGGAACAAGACCAGCAGGGAGGAGGCTGGATCTGCAGTGGTCTAGGAAGGGCACCACAAGTCTAGCCAAGGGCAAGGTCTGAAGGCTGGTTCCCTTGACTTCCCTGGTCCCCAGGAAATGGTGATGCTGGAGATCGAGGTCATGAACCAGTTGAACCACCGCAATCTGATCCAGCTCTATGCAGCCATCGAGACCTCGAATGAGATCGTCTTGTTCATGGAGTAGTGAGTGAGGTTGGGGGTGGGAGGGAGGTTGGAGGCCGGGTGGTGGGGGACAGCAGCCCAGAGCAAGCCTGCAGAGGTGTCTGTGCACACAGCATCGAGGGCGGCGAGCTCTTCGAGAGGATCGTGGATGAGGACTACCATCTGACCGAGGTTGACACCATGGTGTTCGTCAGGCAGATCTGCGATGGGATCCTCTTCATGCACAAGATGAGGGTTCTGCACTTGGACCTTAAGGTGCTGCACTGGGGCCTCCTGGGAGGGAGCAGGGGCAGCCTTGGACCACCTGGTGTCAGTGTGGTTGCCAGTCAGCCCTCCGTCCTCCTGTCCTTCCTTCTCCACCTGTCCTTCCATTCACAAATTCAAAGAGTTCAGTAAGTACCTAGAAATGCCAGGTGCTGGGGATGAGAAAGAGTGGGAGAAGGAGAGAGGTAGGAAGAGAGGGGGTAGAGGACTTGCTCCCAGCTCTCTTGGAACTTTCAGTCTAGTACCAAGTATTTGCTGAAAGGCTTATTTATAATCCCTGAGCCCAAGCTCACTCACTGTCTCACACATCTCTGCAGCAAGTAAGGGCTGCACAAACACCACCTCAGTGCTGGCCTGTGACAGGTACTGTGAGTGCTCACTTATTCAGAATCAGCACAGATGTGTTAAGGACCTGCTTTATGTGAGCCAGTATTCTAGGTGGCGAAGATCTGAGAACAGACTAAGTAAATAAATAAAGATCCCTGTCTGCATGGGGCCTACCGGTAAGCCTAGCATCCTTGAAGCAGTGAAATAATATTTACAGCCCTTCCTGAGATGGCTCCATACCACGCACACCTGAGATGGCTCCATACCACGTACACGGCGGTCAGGGAGAGCAGAGATTTCACTTATCTTGCCTTCTGCCCTCAACTGGTAATGGCTGCCTGGAGCTTAGGAATGCCCACCCGGTTGTGGAGTAGGGAGGAGCGCACGAGTGCCAGGTATCCCCCGTCCTCATGGCAGGTGCTAACGCATGTGGGTAAGTGGCAAGGCTAGTGGAGGAGATGAAACGTTAATGCAGAGGCACGTGGGCTTCCAGCAGCAAAGAGGTGGTACTTTCATTCATTCATTTGATACACGTATGCTAAGTCCTGCTGCTGGAAGGTACCATCCAGAAGGAGGTAAGACAGCCCCTAGCATTAGGGTCCATAGGGAGTATTAAAAACTGGTTCCTGCCTAGGGAGTCTTCAGAAGATTAGTGGGGGGAAACAGACTTTCATAACACAAAGACTAAGTAAGTAACCGGCATTATAAATCATTAAAAGTTTATGCAGGAGTGCCTGAGAGTAACTGGGAAAGGCACAGTTTCCTCCTGACATGCGTGGGTATGCGCGGGTTCCTTCTGACAGCCTGTGGGGTCGATGCGCTGTTACCATCTCTGCCTACAGATGAGGGGGAGGGAAAGGAGATAAGTTTCAGTGGGGCCAAATTGGGGGACTTGGGAGGCTTGGGAGACGATGGGGACAAAGGTATACTGTGGAATTACTGCAATCCGGCTGATGATTTGTGTGGATGTGGGTGAGGAGAGAATCACAGGTGACTTCTGAGGTACTGGGGTAGCTGTTGTCTGCATGGAGACATTAGATCCTGCCACTCCTCTGGGAAGGCCAGTTTCTTTGGGGGATAGGACAGGGTTGCCAGTTAAGAGGAAATGTCCCGGAAGGAAGTCAGCCTTCAACCTCTACATCCTAAAATGTGTTTTTCAGGATTGCTGAGACTGTTTCATCCCACAAGGGTTTCACACTTCAAAAAGCTGGGTGTGCCCACCCATAGGCTATCCCCAGGTCCCCTGGCTGCAGGGCTTCTGAGGACCTCTTGTGTGCTGCCTGAGTGTCTCCAAAAGGAGGTTTGGCCCACTTCATCCCTCACACGCTTGTACCCAGGACTTCTCTTTTCTTTCCCTGCTTTGGACTGGTGGGACACTGTGCTGAGCTATGGAAGGCATTCGTTTCCTGCACTGAGTGAATACATTGGTTCTGAAAGGGTCTCCAAGAAGCCTTCAGGTCGGAGGCCTTGAATCAAATGGCCACAGAGCCCAGACAAACAACAGAATTGAGTTGTGCAGCACTGTCATGGGGCCAGAGAACGTGGACCTGTCTCTCTCCACAGTGTGTGGCCCATGCAGCCAGGAGGTGCTGGGTTTTGTGTGAAGTCTTCTGCCCTTGAACTATGTGATCTTTAATGCTTATCCCATGCAACCCCCGGTCAGTCCTGTGTCCTTGTGTTTTGGGAAGTGAAGTCCCAGAGAAAGTTCATGCACGTGTTCACCTGTGCTTCGCACCCAGGTTTCCTCTGAACCTACTGGGTGTTTCTGTTAGACCAAGGAGGCTGGGAGAAGATGGTCCCTGCCCTGGGAAAAGCCAACTCAGTAGCACATGTGCACCCAGCCCACTCATAGAGTGGGCTGGGTGTCAAGGGGCATCAGGAAGCTAGTGTGGGAGGTTCACAGTCCTGGGCTCAGATTCTGTTTACCTCACTTACTTCCTAGGGCCCTGTGGTTAAGTCACTTCTGTGTCTGAGCCTCAGAAGTGGGATGAATGGCAACTGTCTCTCAATGTGACATTTCTATCTCAAGATCACAGTGAGCTGTTAGGAGGACTGAGCTAAAAATTAAGTAGTGGTGCTCGTCTGTAGTCCCAGCCACTTGGGAAGCTGAGGCAAGAGAATTACTTGAGCCTAGGAGTTCCAGGACAGCATGGAAGACATATCTAGACCCAATCTCAAAAAATAAATAAAAGGAGGTTGAGAGTGGTGGCTCATATTTGTAATCCCAGCTACTTGGGAGGTGTAGATAGGAAGATCAAGGTTCCAGGCTGGCCCAGGCAAAAAGTTAGCAAGATCCTATCTCAAAAAAATAAGCAGGGTGCATGCCTGTAATTCCCAGCTACTCGGGAGGTAGAGATAGAAGGACCAGAGTTCAAAGCATGCCAAGGCAAAAGCAACACAACCTGTCTGAAAAACAAACTCAAACCAAAAGGACTTGGGGTGCAGTTCAAGTGGTAGAGCACTTGAACTCTACCTGAGTTCAAACCCAGGTGCCACTAAAAAAAAATAATAAATGGAAATTAAGTGACCCACAGTCTGACGCTTTGAAAAAGCTCATTGTCCTCATGGCTAGTGGGAGGCAGGGGTTACGTGCCTGAGAACAGTGGAAGAGCCTGTGAGCTAAGTGGGTGTGTTTTTCCCGCTCGGGTCTTTCTCTGGCCCTCCACATTCTGGTGGTGGTCCAGCCTGGTCCCCAGTAGGCACGCCTCTTCTCTGCAGATTTCTGTTTCTGCGTCCTCAGGGTGACAGAGATGTTACCATTCTTTCATGGCCTTCGTGGAGGGAAGCAGGCCCTAGCTGAGCCCATTAGATGGTCTTAGGCTTTGAGGCTTCCGACACATCCCTCACAGGGCCTCAACATCTTCAGCTGGGCTAAGAGCAGGCATGTCTGAGGGTCTCTGACAGCAGCGTGGGCCTCTGCTTCAGTGAGCACAGGACTTGGTTGGACCTAGCGGGGAGAGGGCAAGCTGGCTCAGAGGCCAATCCAGGCCGCCCCTGTCTCCTCAGCCGGAGAACATCCTGTGTGTCAACACCACAGGCCACTTGGTGAAGATCATCGACTTCGGCCTGGCACGGAGGTACCGTCAGGGTGGGCTGGGGGGGAGGGCAGGCCTCTGAGTCGGCAGGACCAGGGGAGGGGCAGAGGGGCTAGGGATAGGCTGAGGCTCTGAGAGCTTGATCTCACTTCTAGGTATAACCCCAATGAGAAGCTGAAGGTGAATTTTGGGACTCCGGAGTTCCTGTCCCCCGAGGTGGTGAATTATGACCAGATCTCTGATAAGACGGACATGTGGAGTCTGGGGGTCATCACCTACATGCTGTGAGCCCCCAGGGCGGGTGCCGTTTATGGGGTTGCTTGAGGCACATGGGCGGGTAGTGGAGGCCAGTTGTCCTCCGGGTCCTGGTGAGGTGATGCGTCCTTCCTGATCCCTCAGCCAGGGCTTTATTGGGGTTGGGGGTACCAGGGAGAACCAGGAAGGGGACTTTGTACCCATTTAATAGTCGGAAAAACTGAGGCCTCTAAAGGCATAGCATCCCAGTCAAGGTCTCGGGACAGCAGATTGCAGATGACCCAGGGTGGGAGCAGGTGGACAGTGGACATTTTTTGTGTACTCACCACGTGCCTTGCACTCACCATTCCTCATCTGCACTGTAACCCTGGGAAGCTGGGATGATCATACCCATTTTACAGATGAGAAGAGTGAGGCTCAGAGAGGGGAAGTGACTTGCCCAAAGTCACCCAACCAGATTCAAACCCAGGTCTGTCCCACTCGGGAAGCTGGGGGTTTTTCCAGCACAAGGTGTTGCCTCCTAGGCTCTGCCCTTCCCTCCCCCTGGCATCTCCAACTCACCTCCCTGCTCTTGTCTTCCTCTCTCTCCAGGCTGAGTGGCCTCTCCCCCTTCCTGGGAGATGATGACACAGAGACCCTGAACAATGTCCTGTCCGCCAACTGGTACTTTGACGAGGAGACCTTTGAGGCTGTGTCGGATGAGGCCAAAGACTTTGTATCCAACCTTATCGTCAAGGACCAGAGGTGAGGCTTGCCCAGGGCACGAGCTCTGAGTGTGCAAGCTCAGTGTGTGTGCACCAGGCTGGCAGCCTCACTGGGCCAGGCGCACACCCACCATCCCCACGTCTCCCTCCCAACAGGGCCCGGATGAATGCTGCCCAGTGCCTTGCTCACCCCTGGCTCAACAACCTGGCAGAGAAAGCCAAGCGCTGTAACCGCCGCCTCAAGTCCCAGATCCTGCTGAAGAAATACCTCATGAAGAGGCGCTGGAAGGTACCAGGCTGGAGCCTGGGATGGGAGGCCCACGGGGTAGGGAGGGCCCTGCCACCAGGGCCCAGCCGTACCAGCCCTGCCTTGGAAGGATCTGTTGGCCAGGCCTTGCCCTGTCTGGAAAACAGGGCTGAGTTTTCCCTCCCTGGAGTGGAGTCCTTTACCCACCCATTCATCCTAGGGAGAGGTATCATCCGAGGCTCAGGCTCAGGAAAATGTGTGTGACCCCGTCACAGGCCTTTTCCCTTCATTTTTCAAATATGTTTTGAGCAGCTGCTATTTCTAGACACCAGGATGCAGCAGTAGACATAGGAGACAAGGATCACAGTCTCCGTGGGCTGAGTTTTGGTGGGAAGTGAAGTTATTACAGGAGATTCAGGCAGAGTTCTAGAAAACAAGTAAGAGCAGTCAAGAGTACGGGGTGGGGGGGGAGGGGCTGCACCTTTAAACAGGGAGTCAGGGAGTGCACACTGGGAAGGAGCAGGTGACCAAAGGACTCAAGGAGGTATAGGGTGAGCCTTGCCAGCATTAGGGGGGAAAATATCCAGTGCAAAGTCCCTGTGGCAAAACCAGGTCGACAAGTTTGAGGAACAGGAGAGAGGCCAGGACGGCTGCAGTAGCGTGCTTGAGGAGGTAGGAATGAAGTCTGAGAGGAGCAAGGAGACAGGATGTGGACGGGCTCTTTTACTTAGACCATGCGGTGTCACAGCGCCTCCTATGGCTGGGTTGGGCACTGCACCCTCCCTGGCCTCTGAAACTCTAGAACACTCAGCTGCCTCTCAGCTTCTGCTCTGCCCTGGTGTTGACTGGGCCTTCTTCTTTCTCATCGCTCAGAAAAATTTCATTGCTGTCAGCGCAGCCAACCGCTTCAAGAAGATCAGCAGTTCGGGGGCGCTGATGGCTCTGGGGGTCTGAGCCCCAGGAGCAGCTGAGGCCTGGATGCAGCCACAGAGCGGCCAGGGCTGAAGCCACACAGCCCAGAAGGCCGGAGAAGGCAGGCCAAATCCTTGGGGCTGGCTGGCCAGGACGGGCTGTGCCAGGCTGGGAGGCTCGGGGCTCCCCATGCCCCCAGCAGCGATTCTTCCCCGACTTGAGCCGCCTTGGACCTTAGAGTGTGCCCTGGATCCATCCTGCTGCTACCTCCCCAGACAGGTCTCTGACCCGTGGCTGTGCCCAGACTCCACGGCGGTGTGGAGCTGCTCCCTGTTCCCCTCCCTGGCTCTCCATTTGAACTGCTGTTCTGGTGGCCCCTGTTTTGCCTCACTGGGACACTCCCAGCCTGGACTTGTTCCTAGCTAGGGTGGGATGGCTGGAGGTCCATCACATGGGCTTCTGCCGTTGTGGATGGGAGGTTCCTGGCAGGGCAGGCAGGCAACGGCACCGATTCCTCAGGCCCAGCTGTCAGGGGAGACAGAGCAGGCTTTGTGAAAGAGGACCCCCCTCCCACTCCCAGCAGATAAGGCCCTGTACACACCATCTGGCCTGCCCGGCCCCCACCCACTTCTTTGTGACCACCAACACACAGGAATTCTGCAAGAGAAGGAGCCCAGCCCAGGCTTCCAGGAGAGGAAAAGGCCTGGGGGACACAGAAGACCACCCCCGAGCTCGCCTGAGGGCCAAACCTGCCCACCCCAGCCACTCGGGGCCTGTCCCAGGGGCATCCATGGCCTCAGACAATGGAGCCAGCAGGTTCAGGTGTGCGAAGTCCATTGGGCAGCCCCCAACCTGCTCTCAGCTTGTGCCTTGTAAATAAATGTACAGGTTGGATGCAGCCTGCTTCCCTCTTCGTAAGCATACACTGTGTTGAGGTCACAGGTGACTACCCTTCATAAAGCACCCGTTGTGCACCAAGGACTCCAGTATGTCTGTAGGCAGTGTGCTGTTTATGCATGCAGGCTCAGGAGCTTGACTGCCCAGCATGTGTGGTCTGGGCAGGTGGCTTCCCTGCTCTGTGCCTCAGTTTCCCCACCTGTGAGAGGGAAGTCACACAACAACCAAAGTGGGCTGGGTGGTGGTTTGTACTAGGCTCGAGTTGAGTGCTTGCATGTATGTGAACTTATTACTCCTCATAGCAGGATAATAAGGGAGATAATACAATTTCTAGTTCCTAGAGGGAAACTGAGTCGGGGTGGTAAGTCAGGGGTAGGAACCACCTCACAGGGCGAATGGTGGGTCATCAGTGGGATTGAGGTACAGCTCAGGGAGGTGCTGCAGGCATGTTAGTATGCTCATCTTTGCTTAACGCATTGGGGAAACTGAGGCTCAGAGCAGGGGAAGAACTGGAATGTCCAGTGAGTCAGGGGCTGGGGCAGGAAATGAACTCTTCCATCTCCCAGAGCAAGGCTCTGCCCATGAGCTCACCTGCTTCTCCCCAGAACAAGTTGAGAGCACAGTGTAGGGTCTCTGAGGGAGGCGGTGGCCCCATGTCTTTGCCCTGCAGGGGTGGGGGCTTCTGTTCTCTGCTCCCCACTGGTGGCAGCCACTTCTCCCAGGCCAGCAGGATGGGGGAGCTCCATCTATTGGAGGGAGCAGACCAGAGGGCAGGAGAACACAGAACAGGGTGCGGCTCCTCTGGCCATGAGGATGACTGAGTTCATCGGAGGTGGCACCGCGGGCTGGGACACCAAGATTCTGGTGGTAGCAGCAGGAGCAGCAACAGACACTGCAGGTAGCCTGCAGTGAGTACTGTGGTCCCCATCTCACAACTCTGCTGGCTGCGACCAGCATGTGAGTGTCGTGCGTGTTTCTTAGATGGGGACGCCAACCTCAGGGAGGCTCAACCTCTGACTCCCAGTCACACAGCAATCGGTGTCAGAGCCAGGACCTGTCCCCAGACAGACAGGGTGTGGAGAGCCCCTGCTCTTACCTGCCTCACTGCCCCTCTGGAGAAGTCTTTGGGCACATGGACAGAGACCTTGGTGGTGCCTTCCATCTCCCTCCTACCTCCTTGAACACCATGTTGGAAGGCAGAGCCAGGCACCTTGCCCTTCCTGCCCTATTCCAGCAGGTGGGTACAAAGCCCCCTTGTAGCAGGTGCCATGTGGGGTGGGGGATTGGGAGACTTTGGGTCTGAGCCTGGCTTTTGCGACCATAGCTTGGTGGAGGGGGGGGGTGAAAAGCCTGGCTTGGACTCTTTATGGGAGGTGTGCTTATGGGCAGAGCACCCGGGGCATGCAGTCCTGCCTACCCGCCTGCAGCCCTCCCAGCCACCTGCCAGCTGGGCCAGGCTTGTGGTTTCTGCTGAGTGGATGGCTTGGCCTCACTGGCCCCCACCCAGGCTGAGCCTCGGCCACACAGCAAGATGATGAAGGATGAGTCACCGCTGTGGGGGAAGGGAAGGAAGTGAGGTCCAGCCAGAGCAGAGAACCAAGGCCTGGATCTAGCTGGGGAAACTGAGGCTGAAAGAGGGAAGGCCCCTCATCAGAGATGGCAGCAATAGGGACTGCAACCCAGCACTCAGGATTCCCAGCACAAGCCCCAGTTTCCTTCTCTAAAATGTGAGAGTGACAACTTCAGCTCTTTTCTTCTCTGCCATTCCCAGGGCTATGGCAGTTGAGAGATGGGATTGAGTCACCATATTTCACAGGCTAGGAAACAGGTTCAGAGAGGCAAAGTAACTTGCCCAAGGCTACACAGCAAATCAACATGTCCTGGGCAAAAACGCTCCCAGAACCACAGGACAGGGTTAAACTTGCCCTCCCTTCCCCAACCCCTTCCTTCCTCCAACTTCCTCCCAGGAGCGTATCTTGGAAATCTCACTTTTTGGGCCTCCCCTGGTCCCTGGAAATAGAGAATATAGATTTCACAATATGGATGGAGTTGAAAATGAGGTTTCAGAGAGATTTTGTTCTTATGGGGGGCAAAGCTGGGCCACAGCCATTGGGCGTAGAATTGGTCTGCCTCCCTGGAGGCCTGGGCCTCAGCCCTAGTGACCTCAATACAGCTCCCATCCCTGGCCACTGCAGAGAAAGATTTTTTCACCCTAGGAGCTGCCCCCATGGAGAAAGGGAGTCCACAGCTGGTTTGGGACTGCTAAACTGGAGCCAGGACTTGGCCAGGGTCAAAGTCAAGGTCCCCAGGGTGCCAGGCTGCGAGATTCCCTGCATGGTTTACCCTGTCCCCCACAGCCCAGGGGCACAGCTCCTGTCACAGTGTCCATTCCATTGCCAGTGTTGTGGGCTTTCCCACTACAGTGTGTGTGCCTCCACAGTGCTCGGCTGTGAACTCCCACCCCGCATAGGGTCCTGGATGCCCCTGTGGAACAAGAAGGGTTAAGACCTTCTGCGAGACCCCTCCTCCCAGCTGGTCCCAGCCAGAGAGCTTTCTTCCAAAACCATTTCCTGCCTCTGGGCCTTGGCCAGGCCCACAGTGACCACCCCCATGGGTCTGGAAGCCACTGAGGCCACATCTGGTTTGTATTACCCCAGGGTTGGTGACGTTGTCTGTTCCTGTCTGGGTCTAGTGGCCTTGAATTCCACCAGCCACCTTGGACCCAACAAAGCAGTGGTGGGAAAAGATTCAGCCAGCAACAAGGCTGCCTTGAGGGTGTGAGGCAGCTAGGGCTGTCCTGAAGGATGTGGAGCTCCTACCCATGTGAGGCCTGTGCACCTGCTCTTCCCACCTGCCCTCCTGCCTTTTGTCCCTGGGATGGTTAGCATTTAGAGAGTACCTGCCACTGGACCAAGGAGTTCCTACTTGGTTCATCTCACTCCTAACCTATAAGCAGGCATTTTCTTTTTCTTTTCTTTTCTTTTTTGAGATAGGGTCTTGCTATGTAGCCAGGCTAGCCTCCAACTCACAATCCCCCTGCCTCAGCCTCCCAGGTGTTGGGATTACAGGTGTGAACCACCATGCCCAGCTAGAGCAGGTATTATCATCTGCATCATTTCACAGGTGGGGGAAACTGAGGCACACAGAGTGGAGAAAAAAGTCCATGGGCTCCTAGCCAGTGAAGAGCAGAGTCAGGCTACACGACACACAGTCTGACTTCCACACATCCAATCACTTCACAACTGTTTTTTAAGTCTTACTCTGGGCCTGGTCTCAACCAAGAGCCCAGAGAGGAAGTAGTCATCCCTGTGCTCAGGAAGCTCACAGCCTCTGGGACTCTGGAGGGAGGGTGGAAGCTGGGACTCTGGAAGTAAGAGTCATGGAACCAGGAAGACGGGAAGGAGACATCAATAGGTATTCTAGCTTCTCTAGGGCAAAACACCGAGGGCTTGTTCAGATGGCAGAGGGGCTGTTGTAGGCTGGGGGGTGGGGTGTGTGCAGGTCCAATGACTGGAGCTGCAAGCAGCTTGCCTTGGAGCATCCAAGCAGGGCTTTTGTATAAGATGAAACAGGAAATAAGTCTGGAACAATTTTCAGGAGCCTTTAATGGCAGGCTGACTCAGGGCAGTAGGAAGCTATGGAAGGGTTTTGACCAAAGGAGGGACATGATCACATCCATGTGGAATGGGGAAGAGAGGCTGGAGACAGGGAGACCAAGGGAGGCTGGGCCCCATCTACTGGAGAGATTGTAAAAACTGGGGCTGGAAGAGGAAGCACTGAGCTCAGATGCCTCTAGACAGATAGGCTGGTAATGAGCACTGGGTTCCAGGTTGAGCCGAACATGATTCATATCTGCTTACTCATCCTCTCTGAGTCTCAGTTTCCTATCTGTAAAACAGGGTAATCATAGTTTCTGCTCCTCGGGGTCAATGCGAAAGTCACAGATGTGTAGGTAGTACCTGGTACAGGCTGCTGTGCTGTTTATTTCTGGAGCCCCTGACAGGTTCCTGCCACTATTCTAGGTGCTGGGGACAAGCATGGAATAGACAAAATTCCTGGTGTCGTGGGGGAAATAGACAGTGACAGCAATAGTGAGTTTAGAGTGCGTTGGCCGGGGAGAACAGGAAGCAAGGTGGTCAGGGAGGGCTTCTGGGAGGATATTTGAATGGAAACTGGTGGATGTGAAGGAGAGAGCCCTGCGGATGCTGTGCTCCTGGAAGATGCCAAACAGAAGGAAGAGCAAGGTGAAGGCTGCTGGAGTGAGGGGGAGGTCCCAGGAGATGTAGCCATGGCACACAAGCCCTTACCCATAAGCTCTTGGGCTGTTGCTCTGAGCCAGAGAGGTTGCCCCTGGGTTTCTTTGAGATTAATCCCTGGTGAACAATGAGTGGGTGGCCGCAACAGACCTTCACTGAGGTCCTACTGTGTGCTGATCATTGGGTTAGGGAAGTGGATAAAGTGATTAAGGCAGATCCTACTCTTGTCTCCTGAGGCTTGCATTCTAAGGCAGAGACACATAAAAGCGAATGTATGTACACCTGTGTCATTCTACATCACAATGGGTTCCCCTTGGACGCACCATGGGGGAAGTAGAGAAGAAGAACCCCATAAAGGGCTGCTCACCAGACTCGGGGGTGCATGAAGCTTCTGGGCAGGGGAAGGGTTGACTTGGGCTCTGTAGTCAGCCCAAGGGGGAGAGGATATCCCATCAGAGCAAACGGCCATTGCACAGGCCCAGATAATTACTTCACCAGGGAGCCAGCTGTCCTAGGGAGTAGGAGGACCAGCCTCTCTCTCCTGTACCCAAGTAAAACCGGGGCACTGTCAGGCTTGGCACTGAGGACTGTGATCAGGAGGAGGCAGCACTGGCCTCCCAGGCTGACTGAGTGACTAAATGGGCCTCTGGCCTGTTTTTAGCTTCAGAACCACTTCCTCCTGCCCCACCAACTGCCTCCCTGAGTCACTCCCCCCAGTTACCAGCACGGTGGGATTAGAGGACAGTGTGGGGGAGTGAATTAGCCACCTCTGGACCTCAGGGGATGTGGTCTCTGCCATGTGTGCAGAAAGGAGCATAGAGAACTGGGCAGAGGGTATGAGGCCCTCCAGTGGCGATGTTTTTAATTCTAATTTCATTCCTGTTGACCAAACTGTTCCTGTAGTGTGCAGAATCGGACTTCTCACATACAGTCCTGGGGGACAGAAACACCCCCATTTTACAGATGGGGAAACCAAGGCTCTGAGAGGTGAATCCACTTTCTCCAGGTCACACAGCAAGGAAGTAGAGAGGTCAGGAACTGAGTACATAGCCTTGTCTATGTAACAGTCCTTCCTCACAGCCTCCCTCCTTCCAGCACAGCAGCTGGACACTGCCCTAGTAGGGAATAAACCAGACTAAGGGGGGAACATTCTCAGGACCCAAATGCTAGTTATTCCACTTCATTGCCATGTACAATTTATGTACATTTCCATGTACAATTTATTCCCTGTTCTAAGCACTTTGCAAGTGTTAATCCATGTAGTGCTCACAACAGCCCCATGGGGTAAGTACTGGGGGCTCCCACATGCTACAGACAAGGAAAACAGAGAGGGGAAGCAACTTGCCCAAGGCCATCCAGCTAGGAAGCATGGAGCTGGGATGTGAGTGCAGGCAGCCGGGCCTCTGGCAGCCTGGCCTGTGGAGTGATGGGAGCCCATGTAGGGAAGGGATATTTGGGCTGAAGCCTGGATTCCTGGGTTCCTCCACTCCTAGCGGGACAGATGGACGTGCCAGGCCAACACTACCTCCCCCTGCTTCCTCATCATTGTGGCAGCCAAGGCCTCTGGGGGAGAGGGTCTCCCTGCTGGCCAAAGTGCTGTCTGTGGTGTGGGAAGGCAGCTTAACGGGTCTGTGGAATGCCATCCGCCTGGGAAGGAAGCAGTGGGCGGGAGGCAAGCCTAAGATAAGATGGGTGGAGGAGTCTGAGGAAGGCCAGCCCTGGGGTGGGGGGGGCCTTCTTGGGGGCAGGGCATCTTCTTCCATCTTCACATCTGACCAAAGGTCAGCAGGTGAAGAGCTCCCTGACAGTTCGCTAGAGCCACCACAGGACAGGCCGGGCCTCCCTACTTTCCTAACCCCATGGGGTGGAATTCATAAATTGTGCAGGAGGTGCCCTGTCAACACTGATACCACAAGAATCTGAGCTGCTGAGATGAAGAACTCTGGAATATTCTTAACTACTGATTCTGCCATTTTAGGATTTGCTTTGGCCTTGCTCTGCAAGGCCATGGACTCAGTACCCTTTCTGCTCTAACCTACTGAGAAGGAAGGTACCTGGGATTGGCCTGAAGTCAGACAAGCCTCCACCGAGGGGGTCCTCAAGGTAGAGTCAGGTACCCTGGTCCTGTCCCTAAGAGCTCTGTGGTGAAGGCAGCACAAGGGGACCCACGGGTGGGTCAAGAAGACAGCTGTGCTCCTGCCATGCTGCGTGACCTTGGGCATGTCACTTCTTTGGCTTCAGTCTGTCCATCTGTGCCAAGATGCTCTCTGGGAAGACCTAGATTAGGAACACTTGCTCCCCAGTGCACCCTTCACCCAGGTAGGGATAGTCAGGCAAGAGCCAAGGGTGTTTTTTGGTCATGAAAAGAATGTGAGGGCAGGAAGCCCATTGGGTGGGGTCCCTGGCTGGGCAGTGAGCAGAGGGCAGCATGAGATCATGGCGTCTAGGCCTCCTGGCCTAGCACCTCTGGGGATAGGAACTCCTCCAGGCTTTCCAACAGGTCAGACCCTCTCCTTGGGATTCAGCCAGAGTGAGCCAGGCTGCCCACCCTTTAGTAGGCAAAGGGAATGAAATCAAGGCCCAGAGAGGTGGGCATTGGGCCAAACTCATAGGGTGAGTCCAAGACTGACACCCAGCCCAGGGTTTTGTTTGAGGATTGGGGTTAAGGGGAGGGGAATTTCTGTCTTTACTTCTTGACAAATAAGAACTCTTTGGGGGAGAGGGCAAAGAGAGATGTGCCCAGACCTGAGCTGAGCCTCAGGGACTCAGTCTTTTCTGCAGTGCCCACCCAGCTCAGAGGCTGAAGATCCTTAGGGGGCAGGGCATGATGCATCTTGTGTCCCTCTGGCCTCCCATCCTCCTACTAGCTCAGGACACAGGCTGGGAAGACAGGTCACTAGGGCTCCACAGGAATGCACAGCAGGGAACAGTGCCTAGCAGAGGCTTCCTTCCCAATGCAACTGAGAAAAATCCCCTGTCCTCCTCTCTATCCCTCTGTCTCCAACTGCCTGTCTCTCTGCATATCACACACACACGCACACGCACACACGCACATGCCATGGTACAAAGCCATATAAGGCCCCTTCCTCACCCATGTCCCTCATCCACACAGGACTTTTCTCCTGTCCCGCCTACACATGGAGCTGCCGTGTGAGGGGACAGACCATCTCTCCTTCTCCCCACTGTTTGAGGCTTCGGGCTGGTGTGTGGCAGGCATGGTGGTTGCTATCTTCCCAGCCCCTTCTGGTCACAGTGAGCCCGTGCCCCACAGGTCCCCCCTCCACCTCAGCTCTGAAGTCTGTGGGAACCAGACAGTTCAGGCTGTCCAGCCGGACTTGCTTCCTCCCAGGCCCCAGGGGACCTGCAGAGGGAGGAGGGAGCCATGGAGGCTGAAGTCAGCATGGCCCACTGCCCAGGGGAGGGCCTCTGGAGGAGACTGGGCTGCATGCCCAAGGAAGGGTCTTCAGTCCCCTGGGTGTCACCTCATGGGATGTAAGCCCTCAGGCTCCATACCAAACACCAGCATCCCCCAACATACCCAGACCCTTTTCTTTCTACACCCATGCCCACATGGGGTCTGAGGCTCTGGGAAGAAATCATTTGCCTCTGCTCCTCTAGTCCTGGGGCTGTGGCAACAATGAGGTTTCAGGTTTCCACTCTTCTGATGGGTGCCACAAATATCCCCTTGTCTCCTGTGACCACCCCAGAGGGTAGCAAGAGAAGTCAACTTGCATGGGTCAGGCTAGGACAGCCACAGACCCTGCCTCTGCCACAAAAGAAAAGTTTTCATAGAGTCACCTGCACACCTCAGGGAGCAGGGGACCCAGGAGAGGTTCCCATTAGTGTGGGAAGCCCAAAGGGGGTAGATACTTCCTCTGTGTCATGGGTTCCCTGTCTACGTAGGGCGATGAGTGCCTTTTTAGCCTGCCATTCCAAGGGTTTCAAAAAAAAAATCCCTCTCTTCTCTGAGGCCACCACCAACTCTGTCCTGAGACTGCTCTCCATCCTGCATCCTCCTCTACTGCAGGCCAGAGCAATGTGGACCTGAGTGCAATTTCCTGTCTGCCGCTCATTCACCACCCAGAGTCGGAGTTAGCTGATGAACCTCAGTTTCCACCACTGTGAATGAGGCTGACAGTCCATGACACACAGGTGAGATGGGAGGTACAAGTCTGGGACAGAAGAAATGCCAGGAAGGGTTGTAGGCATGACCGCTTGTAATGAAGGTGTTGAGGCTAGAGAACCAGCCCATCTGGTCAGCCCAGCCTTACCCCTGTCCCAGTCTCTCTCCCTCTCTGGGTTGCATCCCCCATTCCCTTCTTTCCCTTCCTCTGCCTTCCTGGGAAACTCCCAGAGAAAGTCCCCAGCAGGAGAAAGCCTCAAATGAGACATTTCCATCTGGGTTCCCCCATCCCTGCCACATCACTCATAACCACAGCCACCTCACAAAGAACCCAACGTCCTGGCCCTCCACCCCCAACTATCCAGCAAGCTGACCCTCATCATCACACTGGCTTTATTGGCCCCCAAGAGCCACAAAGTAAATCTCAAGGGTCCCCACTTTCCCTCACCCCAAGTTTGTCTGGAGGTCCCCAGGGCCTGGCTGAGTGTTCACCGCTTCAGTCTTGGCTTCCTGTCCTGGTTGTTCTTGGTCTGCCAGAGCTGGGTTCTTTCAGAGTGCTCCAGGTCCTGGATCCAGGCTCCACCTGAAGGGTGTAGTTGGCAGGGGCCTTGAAGAGGTGAGGCCACCTTCACTCAAAGAAGAACATTCCTGGTGTCCGGTATAGACAGGGGGGCAGCCCCAGAGGGCAGCTGGAGCCTCCCTGAACAGGGAAGCCCCCTGCCACCCATGGTTCCTTAGGGTCAGCTGACAGGGGCAGTGGGGCCCGGAGTGAGGTTGAAGGGGTGGGTGGTACAGGAGCGGGGGCTGCAGAGGCCAAGAGGTGCTCGAGGCCAGTGTCAGCCCCCATGCAGAAATTCAGCGCCTGCAGCCGGCACTGGTAGCTGTTCCCGACGCTTGCCTCAGGGGCCAAGATGGATGTAGGCATCTTGCTGAAGCCCTCGGCCTCAGAGAAACCAGCAGGAAAGCCAAAAGCCGGGCATGGGGAGGATGTGGTGGACCCAGGGGGCTCCCCTGGGCCTGCAGCCTTGGGTGCACACATCTCTTTGGGCTCTGTGGGCAGCCGGGGCCTGGCATCAGTAGTTGCTGGGCACATGCTCGTTGGCAAGGCACCCACCAGACCCCCAAAGCTTAGGCCCTTGGGGTCTGGAAGCTCTGGCGAGAATGGGCACTGCCTGCCAGTCGTGGTGTTGGAGACTTCTGGATCCTGGCTGGTGGCTCTGAGGGGTCCACGGCCTGCTTTGGCAGAGCCCTTGGTGCCATGGGCACCTGCCCGCCGGGTGAAGCGGCGGCGACGGCGGAGGAAGCTGCCATGCTGGAACATGTCGTGGCAGTCAGGGTCCAGGGTCCAATAGCTGCCCTTGCCTGGCTTGCGGTCATCCCGGGGCACCTTGACGAAGCACTCGTTGAGAGAGAGATTGTGGCGGATGCTGTTCTGCCAGCCTGGCCGGTTGTGGCGGTAAAAGGCGAAGCGGCCCATGATGTAGCGGTAGATGCTACTGAGTGTCGCCCTCTGGCCCGGCGAGCTCTGGATGGCCATGGCAATCAGGGCTATGTAGCTGTAGGGGGGCTTTGTGGGCTCAGCCGAGGGGGCCAGTGGCTCAGATGGGGGCTGCTGCTGCATGCTGCCTGGGCTGCTGGGACCACAGGGCCAGGCACAGCGTCTGGGGCTGGAGGCGGCACAGATGGCCCAGGCTGTTAAAAGGTCCAGTGGCCCAGCCTCCCAGCCTGGAAAGGCAAAAAGGGGTGGGCCCACCAAGCTGCCCTCCTTCCTCCCTCACTGCCCCCTACAAGGCCCAAGAGGGACAGGCAGGAGAGGCCAGGACTGGGAAGCTGTGAGCAGTTGCCGGAGGTGAGGAAGTGGGAGGGAAGGGACTGACACCCCTAGCCCACACATGCTGGATGGTGGTGGCAGGGGAAGGACAGGATGTGAAATTGGCAAGGCAGAGACCAAAAAAGCTAGAGGCAGAAACATAATCAGAGAGAGAGAGAGAGAGAGAGAGAGAGAGAGGAAGAGAGGGAGGGAGAGAGAGAGAAAGAGAGGGAAGGAGAGAGAGAGAAAGAGAGGAAGTGAGGGAGGGACAAAGAGGAAAAGAGGGAGGGAGAGAGGGAGAGAGAAAGACACACACACACACACACACACAGAGAGAGAGAGAGATAAAGAGAGACGAAGATAAGACAGAGATAAAATGGACACAGACACAGAGCCAGAGACACAGGCACACAGAGACTAGTAGTATAGAGGGAGAGTTTGGGTCACTGAGAGACAGAAATGAAGAAATCTACAGAAAGAAAGGAAGAAGAGGCTACAGAGAACCACAGGTACTGACCCAAGGCAGGGGCAAGGGGAGGGGTGTGCTGATGAGAGAGACCACAGACAGGCAGAGTCTGAGTAGAGGCCCCATGAAGCAGGGAAAGCCCTTGGGGCCCCTCAAGTCCCCACTTATTCCCCCCCTTTACCTCTCCTCTACTGTCTCATCCCTGCAGCACAGAGCCCTTGGTGCCACACAGTTCCCAGTCCTCCGCAATGGGGTGTGGGTGCTGGAGGGCAATGAGGATGCCAACCCAGAACCACAGAGCCCTGCGCCCTCTAGTGGCTGGTGTGGGGAAGACAGTCATCTGGGCACAAACATCCTCCCAAGAGGCTTCTCAAGACTCAGTTTCCTAGAGTTTCCATCTCAAAGTGGAGCTGGCAAGTGGCAAGTCTTCGCTGTCTGGCCCATGGTGAGGGTACAGGCTCTCTTACAAAGAAGAAGTGCTCTGGGATTGCCAAGCTTATAACTGGATTGTCACTGGGAACTGAATTTCCCCCAGCTGCAGGCTTGAGGTGGGTTGCAACTGACAGCCCTCCTGAAGAACGGGGTTGTATCTTTCCTGCTTGCCCACCCCCAAGTCAGTGATCACTTAGTCTGTGTGACATTTTCTCCTCAGACAAAACCTGTTCCAGAGGTCTTCACAGCTTCTTTTGAATAGACGATGCGTCTGAAGCTCAGAGAAGTTAAGTAACTTGCCTGAGATCACACAGCTAGTGAATGGTAAAGCTGGGATTTGAATCCAGGATTCTGTAACTCCTTAACACCACCCTTTTGGTGAGGGTCAGGAACAAGTGGGGGACAGTTATAGGTTCTCAGCTAGAAGATAGGCTGTGAACCCCAAGAGAGTAGGGACCATGCCGTGTTGTTCCATCTCTAGTATCCAGCACTGGACACTAGAACAGAAGCTGGAACAGAGTAGGTGTTCAATAAATGTAAATGGAGTGACTGAAAAAACAGCAATTGATAGACTTCTGTCCTTGTCAAATCATACAGTCCCCCTATGGTGGCTTTATTGGATGAGCTTGTGGCTCAGTGGTAAAATGTGTGTGTGCTTAAGCGTGCCTCAGGCCTCCCAGCAGCATCCCCCCAAAAAGTGACTTTTTAAGGTATCACTAAAAGAGATTTATTTTGCTAGCAACCATAGACAATTCCTATAAATAAAGACAGAAATCAGAAAAGGAAAAAAAAAAGTATTTCACTCACAAAGCAGGGAGAACCAACTGTATGTGGAAGGTGCCCCCTTCCAGCACCCCAGGGTTCCCCATCACTCACAGTTTGCAAGGATCAGTGGGGCGGGGGAGGGGCTGGACTTGCATTTAGCCTCTGTCTTAGAGCTGTGCCTGTTTCTCCAAAAACAGCATCCTACAGGTACTGGCAGTTCCATGGTTAGGCCAAGTCTAATAGGGTTTAGGCCAAGTCTCTGTTTTAGGGACACCCTCCCCTCACCCCCTGTGGCCCCACAAATAAATGGGAGAGACTAGGGCAGGTGGGAGGAAAGGTTCAGAGGTCAGGCGATTTTGGTACTGGCTGGCTCCACTCTAAACATTGCTGAGGATCTAATTGGTGGTAAACTCAGCTTTGATGAAGCAAATGTTATGAAGAACTCAGTGGCAGATTAAGACTGCCCTAAGAAAATAGCCATTAGTGCTTTGTTCTCAAGTGATTTAATCCTGCTTCTTCTGCCCCAATTACTGCGTTTCTGGGGCCTCAAAGTTAAGTTCAGTTTCCAGCTGATGCCCCACGCACAGCAGCACCGCCCTCCACCAGGCTGCAGAGGGCAGATAGGTGGCAGCCGCAAGTCCACTGGCTCAATGAAGGCAATGATGGGGGGTAATGGTCGACACTCCTTGGGGGGGGGTGCTGCCTTTAGGGGATGTGGGAGGAGGAAGCAGCCTTTTTAGGGTGATGCCCTCTGTGATACCGGACTGGGACCCCGCCGGGCGCCAGGGTGGAGGCACTTCGAGTGCAGGAGTAGCTTGCGGGCGAAGATGGGCTCCACCTGCGGGGGCAGGGAGCAGTGAGCCAACCTTCCCCATTTCCAAGGATCGCATCCCCACACCCAGTTTTCAGACATGGCCACACACACCAGAGGGTCACACAGAATCGGGGAGGAGGAAGCTGGGACCGGAGGGGGTCAGTAAGGAGCCTTTTGGAGGGGACAACAGGGAGTGACTCACATGGGCCATGATGAGCCGCTCCTCGGGCTGGTCTGGGGGGCCCGGGTACTCCTCCCCAAAGCACAGACGGATCTGGTACTCTGGCTCAGGGCGACCATTGTGCAGGTGGGCACGCAGTTCTACGGGCACCAAGACTGTGGGAGCTGGGCCAAGAACTACGCATCCCACCCGATGCCCACTTGGTGGTCATATCCCTTGCGACGTCCTGTAAGTCCACATCCCGATGTGTGCCAGAGCCCTACGCCCACTGCCACATCTCTATGCCTATGCCAAGTACTACATCTGTACCCACCTGGAGTGCTCACGTCCCGTCTAATGCCTGTATGCACATCCCATGTCTGTATGTCCATCCCGTGCCCACTGCCATTCACCTATGACTATCATGTGCCTTGTACGCCTGCTGCCACCTTATGCCCGGCGCCCCCATGTGCCCAAATTCTGTGCTTACGCCCCACCCCCAAGACCCCAAGCCTGCCTGCCCCTACATCCGTGTCTGTGGCCAGCCTTCCTGGTGCCCATCTTCTTTTCCATGCTTTGTGCTTCTGTGCGGTGTCCCTTGTTTCAGTGCTCACCCGAAACCCAGGCCCCTTAAGCCCGCAGCCCCGCGCCCAAATCGCGCGTGCCCACCCTCTTCGGTCCACCCGCTCGGCCGCCCGCCGCCAGGGCCGCACAGTCCGCGCTTACCGTCGAGGAAGCGGCGAGTGTCCAGGAGCTGACAGGTGCGCTCGCGCTCCAGCTTGTTGGGCCGCGTGCGGTGCGGGGCCAGCGGGCCGCGCCAGTAAACGCGGCCCTGGCACAGGCGCTTGGCGAACACGCCCTCGGGCGCCACCCACAGCAGCACGCCGCGCTCCAGGTGGCGCAGCAGACGCCGCAGCACGCGGGCGCTGGGCGGCGGCTCAGGGAAGCAAACTTGCGCGACGGGGGCGCGGGCGGGCGGCCCCAGCAGGCGCTCGGCGGCCGTGACGGTAGCGGCTGCCCGCGGGCTCAGGCGACAGCCCTCTGCGGAGCGCACGGTGGCTTCACGGACCAGGGCGGTGCCGTAGAAGAGCCACACGTGCAGCCAGCACTCTGTGGGCGGGCGCAGAGAGAAGAGCGCGGGCTGGGCGACCGCATGGCGGTGCCAGCCTCCTCCTTCTTCACCCTCTCAACTACGAGGAAAGGGACCCGCCTCTCCCCTACCGAGGGAATTTTTGCCACTCCCTCCCAATCGGTGACACTAATCGTTCTAGCAGCAGTAGTAACAAATACCAGCTTCCGCTCTAAAGGATGTGGTTGTGGCGCTCCATGGTTAAAGGTCTGGCTTTGGGACCAGCTAGACAACCTGAGCGCCTCCCAGCCCCAAGCTCCAGGATTCTAGGAGCTTCCTTTAGCAAGGACTTTAAAGCTGGCCGAAACAATAAGCACAGCATCGCAGACAGCGCCTTGTTAGGGCTGTGGGCTGTGCAGCCAGGTTCTTGCATTCTATTCGCCTACTGCCAAACAGCAGCTGTGACCTGTTAGTTAGCTGGGAGGTCTCAGGCAAGGTTCTAAGGGTTAACCTTGGGGTTGGGGGTTCTCCATCTGTAAAATGGGGAAACAGCATTTATCTCAGGGGGTTGTGAGAGAGGTTAGGAGGACCCCGGCATAAACTAAGCCCTCAAATGCTAACCTTTAAGGTTTGGGGGAGTCTGGAGCGGGTACTTTGGGTGGAGACAGACCAGCCAACCTCATCCCTTGGTCCTCCTGAGAGTTCTGCAAGCTGGTCAGAGGGGAGGGCCTTTAGGATCCTTACCAGGGTTGCTGAAGTCCTCAAAGGGCGTCAGGCTCCAGCAGTGTGGGGCGTTCTGTGCTTGGTACTCTTATGAAGAAGAATAAGCAGTCAGGTGTCATCTCACCTTGGCTTTTCTTGACCCCTATATCCAGGAGGAGGCCAGGGAGGAGGTGTGTGGGCCAGGAGACCCAGTCCTTACTGTGGTCAGCCAAAGGGCCTGGGAGGAGAGTGGCTGGTGGCAAGGAGCCCTGCTGGGCCAGCCTGGGGGACTGCTCCTTGTCCTTATCCTCTGTGGCTAATCTGCAGCCTTCCTGTACAGTGGGAGAGAGGGCCAGCCATGAAGGTGAGAGAGGACACTGAAGCCCACAGGAGTTGCCAGATTCTCCCCATCTGGGCAGAGGCAGAACTGGGCAGATTGAAGGCCAGCTGGAGTTGATGGGAACTTTGACGTCTTAGAACTCAAGGCCCTTCCTGCCCTGGAGGGTTGCTAGGGGTGGTGGAGGGGATGAGGTCAGAGATGGGTGACTGTGATGGGGAGAGAAGTGCTGGAAGTGAATGTGGAGGGAAGGAGTTGGGGATGGTCGAGATGAGGGGACAGAGCCATGGACTGAAGTTGATGGAGTGTTAGGGACATGGGATGGGCCAGAACTGAAAGATAGTGGGAAGAGGTGATGAGGAGGGAGAAGTTAATAGGAATGATACAAACAGTGATGGAGACCAGCAGATGGGGGCATGCAGCAAGGGAGCTAGAGGTGACGGAGGTGACAGGGATACAGTGAGGGAGCCGGGTCTGGTGGGGTGAATGAGGAAAGAGTGATGGAGGGGTTGGAAGTGAATTCTGAAGCTGGGAGAGATGGAGCACATGGAGCAAGAGGCAGGAGGGGGACAGCAGCTGGGCTCATGGGCAGAACAGGTAAATGACAGTGCTAGAGATCCCAGCCAGAGAGGGTCACTGAGCTGGCAAGGCAGTGGGGGCTAGAAGGACACACCGACCTGGTCCATCCTGCAGGCTGGCTTAGTTACTTTCCCGGGAGACTTCTGTTGGCTGGGGGGAATGCCTTCTTTAGGGAGAGCCTGGACCCTGGTAACTGGATGGAGCAAGAGTACCCTGTTGTTCTCTGGACCCCAAAAGGAACCCCTCAACTGAAATAACCCTAGATTAAGAGTCGGCAGCCCAGTGCATGCACTCAGACAAGGCACACCTGTCTCTGGGCCTTAGTTTCCTTTTCAAATGGAAAGGCAAAGAGTGGTGGAATGGCTCAAATGGTAGAGCATTTATCTAACAAGTGTGAGGCACTGAGTTCAAGCACTGTCAACCCCCCCCCCCGCCCCACTATCTAATGGAGAGATACACAAGGGTCCTTCTAAATTTACCAATCCATGAGTTCAAACTCAGTGAGTTCACCATTGTCCAGAGAGCCACCCAGCCACTACCACCTGCCAGGTGGTACCTGGGTCTCGGGCATGAGCAGACATAATCCGGTAGACCTTGTAGGGGTTGGAGATGTCCAGCTGGCTGCGCTCAGGCACCTCACAGAAGTCGATACTCTTGTTGAGGGCACAGCGGAGCCGGGTCTTCCAGGTGGAGGGGTCCTCTTTGTCAGTGCCCTCCAGGTGCTTGCCCTTGTACACAGCCCAGGCCTGGAGGTGAGAAGGGATCTTGGGGAGGAATAGCCTGGATGCTGGCTCCATGCGGAGGAATGAGGGGCTGCCTTGCCTCTCATCTTTTCTTTCCCTTCCTTTTCCCTCCCTCCAACCATCCCGTATTCTTTGAGCTCCTATGTTCTAGTGAGGGGTGGGGAATCAGGTGAGGAGTAAGACAGACATGATCCTTTCTGTGAAGGATTCAAGTCACAGTCAACTGATCAGAAATAACTATATTCCAAATTATGGATTGTGATAAATAGCAATAAATAAATAAGGTGATGAAATAAAAATATTGCAGTGGTTTGCTATATGCAGAACTATAAAAGTAAATCCCAATGGGTGTGGTCCACACCTGTAATTCCAGCTATTCAAGAGGTAGAGATTGGGAGGATCATGGGTCTAGGCCAACCTGAGCAAAAAGTTAGCAAAATCCATTTCAACAAATAAGACAGGTGTGGTAGTGTGCACCTGTCATCTCAGCTACAGAGAAGGCTATAGGTCAGAGGATGGCAGTTTGAGACTGGCCCCAGGAAACTTCAAGACTGTACCTGAAAAATAACTAAAGCAGAAAAGGGCTGAGGGCATGGCTCAAGGAGTAGGATGCCTGCCTACCTGATTACCTGAGTTCAAACCCCAATACTGGAAGAAAAAAATCCTTACCTATTGCTACTTACAAAGTAGATCCCACATGATTTAAAAAGTTATGAGCACATGGTAGGGCACCTGCCTTGTAAGCTGGAGGGCCTGGGTTAAAAACCCACAACCTCAAAAAACTATAGGTAAAAGATAAAACTAAAAAGTTGATAGATGATAATGTAGGAAAACATCTACAAGGGACAGAGGACACCTCTGAAACAAAACTTAATGGGCACTAAACAGAAGGCAAAAAATTTCAATGTCTGGGATCAGAGAGAGGCTAGGAGCTATAATATGCAAGGAACTTCTGTAAGCCAACAAGAAACAGAATGGGAGCCGGATGCTGGTGACTCACGCCTGTAATCCTAGCTACTCGGGAGGCAAAGATCAGGAGGATCATGGTTCAAAGCCAGCTGGGCAAATAGTATGCGAGACTCTATTTTGAAAACACCCATCACACACACGAAAAAGCTGGTAGAGTGGTTTAAGGTGTAGGCCTTGAGTTCAAACCCCAGTACCACAAAAAAAAAAAAAAAAAGAGGAAACCTGAGGCAAGAACATAGGAAGAGATGCCTAAATTTAGTGTCCAAGAGATGTAAATAGACATATGAGCTATCACCTATCCACAGTCAGCTGGATAATGCCAGGAGCTGGTGGGGCTGTGAGCATGGAGAGGTTCAGTGCTTGTGCATGGTAGTCTGGCATGCCTGGTCAAATTAAGGAGTCTAAACATATCTTCCGCAGAAATGCCAATTCCAGAGGCGTTCTCCCAGAGGATCTTAGGGGGACCTGGTTGAGGATATTCACCTCAGCATTATCTCTGGTATTAGGAGTCAGAAGCAAACTTGGGTTCATCCTGGAAAAGTGAATGGGTGTGTGTGTATAATTGAGGCCCACTATAGAGTCTGTGTGGCATCTAGAAGTATCTAGAGGGAACAGATTTAATCTACAGAGAACTAGAACAGATCTTCAAAGCATGGCTGTGGATGGGGGAAACACAGAATGAGGCAGACAACGTGATATACGGATAAGATAAGAATCTACACAAAACAGCCATAACCTTTGTAAAAGAATACCTACAAACCAAAGATATTCATAAAACATATGAGAATGGTTTTTGTTGTGGTGGAGGGACTAAATAAATGAATTAAGGAAAATGAGGGTCTAATGTAATAGAGTGATCAGGAAGACCTATTTGAGGAGGGGACATTGCGCTGAAGCCTGAAACGAAAGAAGGATGGAGTGTGACAAAGAGTTGGCAGAAGAGTGTTTTAGGGGAGAGGAACAGCAGGTGCAAAGGGCCTGAGGCAGGAAAGAGATTGATAAATGGGAGGAAGGCCAGTGTGGTTTGGAGCGGTGTGGATAGAGCAATAAGGCCATTAGATGTACTGCTTTCATCTGTCACATGCAGGGCTGAGGGGGTTTAACTGATGAATTGTTCTAAGAGACTCCAGGTATAGTAGGTAACATAGACACTAAGACAGAAAAGCCTCAGTTTCCCTGTTGGGGCTATGAGTGAGACCTTTTGAGGCTTGATTTTGTTGTCAGTAAGTACTGTGCATGGGGGTAGATGACACCTAAGCTCACATGGCTGTGGAGGTACAGGACAAGCCGGTATATGTGAGCACTTAACACGGTGCCTGGCACCCAGTCAGAGGCACTGTACTAAGGATACTCAAACTCAAAGACTCAGAGCCCTGACCCTGATGAGCAGGGTCAGTGTTTTGTTCACTGCTGTGTTCCCAGAAACTAGAATGGTGCCTAGCATGCAGGAGATAGGGGCTCAGTTACCTACCGACGAACTGAGCTGGGCCTTGAAGGGTGGGTAGGAGGTTGAGAGGTGGCAGAGATGACATTGGTGGCAGAGGGAACAGCGTGAGGTGAGTAAAGTGTGGAAGAGCAAGGGCACTCGGGAACAGTGGGAGCCCGGGAGCTGCAGCTGAATGTGTGTGTCTGAGGGTGAGTGTACAGTTGACTCTCGTTATTCAAGGGACCTCTGTTCTGTTAAGTCTCCACAAACACTGACTTAATTAGTGACTGCAGAGCCATGTAAGCCTCTGGTCACACCATTTTCACCAATCCATAACCTTTCTCATGTGCGTTTCTGTTTAAGGTCGCTAATAACTATATACTGTTCACCCATGACACTGAACTCATGACCCATACACTGTACCTCAGGTCTGAACAGAATTTATCTAACATGGTTTTCTATGCAAGGCACCATGGCCGTTTTGCACCAGGAACATTGGACAGCACTTCAGGAGCACACATGGGGTCATTCGAAACAGTGAAAGCACAAAGATGAAAAAAAAAATCTGGCACTAGGACTGTGAGAAGAACACTTGCGTGTAGTGTGAGAGCTGAAATGAGAAGAGAAGACCTAGGGCTGGGGATGTGGTTTAAGTGGTAGAGTGCCTGCCCAGCAAATGCAAGGCCCTGAGTTCTTTTTCTACTTTGAGAAAAAGAAGAGGAGGAGGAGGAAGAGGAAGAAGAAGGCAGGAACTTGTCTTGTTTGGCCTCAGTTTCCAATGTTCCTGTCTGGTGACTCAAATTTTTTTTTGCTGTGGGCTCAGTGGTAACCCCCCTGCATAGCATGTATGAGGCCCTGGGTTCCATTCCCAGCACCACCGGAAAAGGTTTTTGTTTTGTTTTATGCCATTCTGCACATGTCTGTGAGTGGACACAAAAGTGACAGAAGTATTGATTTGGGGAGTTCAAATATATTATAGGGACAGAAGAATTTGCAAGTATTTAACCCATGAATGAGTGTTGACTGCATGTGGTGGGTGGGGGGATGGGAATGAAGGAAGAAGAGGTCTTTAAGGCCAGATCATGACTGTCCTTTTTATCATTATGACCTTTGGGTTGGACGCTAAGGAGTCACATGTGTGTCATGATGGATGGAGGGACGGGTGGAAGTGGCAGAAGGTGGGGAGGGCCAGTCTCCAGAATCTCCTTCCTCTGAACAACAGCATGTAAATCTTAAGGGACAGGCCTTCTGGTACTTGTTCAATACTTATTGAGCACCTACTGTGTGCCAGGCATTGTGCTCAGCATCACCACCCTCAGGCAGCTCACAGTCTGAAAGGAGGAGACAGCTGCATCCCAGGTACTGAAACTCATAGGGAAAATTGTTCAGCAGGAGAAACACTGAGATGAGCTTCATAAGTGAATTAAACCAATGAATGCAGCAGGGAAGGCTCTCTAAGAAAGAGATGTTTAAGCAGAGGATGAGGACAGTGACCAGGTGAAGGAAAAGAGGCCCTTGTAGGCAGAGGGAACAGTATGTGTGAAGCTCTAATGGTGACAGAGACATGAAGCATTTAGAAAGTGAAAGAACTAAAGTGGGGAGGGAAGGGAGTGGTGAGAGATGGGGCCCAGAGACAGAAGGGGCAGTTCCTGTGGGTTCTGAGAGCAGGGTGAGGAGTTGAGAGTTTGGCACCAGGCAAGGACCCAGGAGAGGGGAGTTAGATGGCCTTTGTACTCAGAAAGAGCCCTCTGGAGGGCTGGGGGGATGGCTGAGGGCTGGGGAAGCAGGAAGCCCTGTGGGGCTGTTCTGAAGAGATGGTGGAAATGAGTTCAAGAGCCTGGGGGCCTCAGGAATGGGGTACAATAGGATTGGAAGAGGGGGAGCAGCCAGAGTTCAGGTATGGCTCTGGTTCATGTACTCAGGTGGCCTGTTTGTGGGGTGAACTGGTGAGTGTGGTACTAGGGATATGTGGAGTCTGAAGGGCCTGGGAGCCATCCAAGAGGCAGCGACTGGAAGCTGAGAGACTAGCACACTTGCGGCTTAGAGGGGAGGCCTGAATCCTCCATGCTGAGTCCATGGAGGGGGGCAGTGGGCTTGAAGAGGGAGGTCCTGGAGAGCATTCTGGGAGCCAAGACAGAGAAGGGAGGAGATGGGGGCTGAGAAGCAGGGCCTGGGAAGTAGGAGGAAAATGGGGGTTCAGGGTAGGAGGCAGACATTCAGAAAGCCATTGAGAGTGTTTCAAGGAGGAGGGAGAGTCCACTAGGACTATCAGGAATCAAAGAGTAAAAGACAGGGATGCATCCTTACATGAACTTGACAACAGAGACATCAGCTAGATGGAAGCTAGGAGGGAAGGGGTTAATGGGTGCTTTTCACCATGAAAGGAGAGGGGACACCAGAGAAGGAGATGCTGGAGATAAATTGGGTGTTTGTGGTAGTGACAATGACCTGGCTTAGGGCAGAGATTTTAAAGAGATTGTAAATGTGGAAAAGGAGCCAGTTTGGAGACAGTTGAGGCCAGGGGGAAAGGGATTCATTCCTATGGGAAGTCCCTGAAAAGGAATGGTGTTGGGAGCACAGGGAAGGTTCTCTCCATGGTGGTTTGGGAGTGGGAGGTTGAGGGAGTTCCCGTGGGTGCCGGCTAACTGCCCTGTGAAGAGGGAAAAGAGGCCCCAGAGGTGGGGATGGTGGACAGTCATCACAGCCAAGACTGATTCGGTTTGAAGGCAGTGACTGAGGGTCTCCAGTTTACAGGTAACACTAGTCCCAGCCCAACAGGCCAAGTGAGAGGCCCAAGTTACAACGCTCCTGGGCTGGCCCAGATGTGGGGGCCAAGAGCCCCCTGGGCCGGGTGCCCAGTCCCCTGAGCCTTACCCTGAAGAGCGCGGCGTCCTGCTGCGCCTGGTAGCCCTGCTTGGCCGCGTGCTTCCAGGGGATGCGGAAGAGAGTCTTGCCTGAGTCCTCCCAGCACAACCCAGCATAGCGTCCACTCTCAATTTGTGCCACCAGCCAGTCTCGGAGACGAAGGGGACCCCCGGTTCCTGCCATACGTGTCCTGCAAATGGGAACCTTCCCTTCCCTTCCTTCTTGCACCAGGGGCTCCAGCCTTTGGGAGTCAGGGAGCACAGGGAGAAAGGCACCTGACCAGTGTGGGTTAGGGATCACTGGGCCACCTGGATGGCGCAGAGGCAACGAAAGTGAAAGTCTGCGTGGGCGGGTTTCACTTTCCCTTCTGTCCCTCTCCAGGAGGCTCTTTCATTTTGCCCCTCCCCCCCATGGCGTCCTGGCCTGAAGGGCATTTGAGCCACACATAGGGGGTTAGTCAGTCACCCAGAGACAGACACTGAGACCCTCTGGAGCACGGGGGTGGGGTGGCTAGGGCTCTGCTATCAGGAATGAAGTCCCTGCAGGCATCCAGACACACAACCTTGCCCCACCTGTGCACCTGCCACCTGCTTCTCCTAACTCATTTGGAAGCTTGCTCTAATTTGTTTGCTTCATTGTTTTGTTTTGTTTATTTTCAGATGGCATCTCCCAATGTTGTACAGTCTGGCCTTGAACTCCTGGATTCTAGCAATCCTTCCACTTCACCCTCCCATGTACCTGGCCTGCCAGTCTCTTTTCAGTATGTGACTATTTCCTCAAATATTGGGAGTCCCCATTACCGATTGTTCCTTACAGTGCTGGCCTGGCTAAACCCTTCTCTGCAGAGTCTTAATAACCCAGGAGGTGAGTTTAATGACCTATTCTGATGTTAAGATGGGCTCAGAGAGGTTAAAGCCCTGAAACAAAAACAGGAATAGCAGGGAGCCAAAGCTTTGTGTCTCTGTACTCCTAGAACCCAGAAGCCTAAACAGTGACCCCATACTGCCTCCTGCTAGCTACACCTGGAGTTCATGGATTCCTGGTGGGGACTGTGAGCCCCTAAAGTTGGATTTGTATTGTTTGGATTTTTTTGGTGGGACTGGGGTTTGAACTTTGCTTTGTCTTTTTGAGCCAGGGTCTCACTATGAGTTTGAGGCTGGTCTCAAACTCATACTCCTCCTGCCTCAGCTTCCTGAGTGCCAGGCTCTGAAGTTTGTATCTCTCAATAAATGGTCAACATCAAATTTGTGATATGAAAGCTGTCAAGTAGCTCAGACTCCTCCATCCTTCGCTGTGTACATGGTGAAACTGAGGCTCTGGGAGGAAAAATAACATCCCCTACTGCAGTGGGCAGAGAGCTAGGTCCAGCCAGCACTGAGCTGAGGCGGGAAGCCCTATCCCTCACAACACCTGCTAGGAGGCTTTTGCTGCGCTCCTCCTCTCCCATAGCCACGTGTGCCAGCGTCCCCTCTGGTTCTGACCCTTCTGCAGCCACAACCTGAACTCACACTTAGGTCTGTAGGGTTCCACTGGGGCACAAAGCCTTTTATATGATCAATTGCAACAGGAGTAACTACAGTGGCCCCCCAATCTCCAGGGGCATTGATTCCAGGACCCCCTTGGATACCAAAATCTGTGGATGCTTAAGTTCCTCATACAAAATGGTGTCACACTTGTGTAAAGCCTGTGCCCGTCCTCCTGTAGACTTTAGGTCATTTCTGGATTACAATAACTAATGCACTATGAAAGCATGTAAATAGTTGCTATTCTGCACTGTTTAGGGAATAATGACAATAAAGTCTGTACATGTTCAGTACAGATGCAGTATTTTTTCAAGTATTTTTATCGGAGGTGGGTTGGATTTTTGGACACAGAACTTGAGGCCAACTGTACATCCAAGCAGGAGTCTGGTGTGATAGTAGATCTCTTTGTTTCTAGAGGGTGCAGGGAACATCTAGAAGGACCTGGAATACTAGGCCAAGGGGCTTTGTTTTGTCCTGTAGATGATGGGCCCAAGAGAGTTTTAAATAGGGGAAGTTACAATTATGAGTTAGAAGGGGGTGCCACCAACCATATAGGAGGATGCATTCCCCCGCTCCCCCCAACACACACACACTCTGACTGCTCTCTATACACGCAGCCACCTTGCCGAGATACTCAGGGCTTTGTCACTTACTGTTCTGTCTGGACTCCCCCCTTCATAGCAAGGTGGTTCACTCCCTCCTCCCCCTGCCCTGTGTTTTATCTGTTTATCTGATGTCTTCCTCACCAGAATGTCAGCAAGATGAAGCAGACATTGCTGTAGACCCAGAGCTCTGCTCAGTGTCTGGCACACAGTGGGTAGAGTTGGGGTGGCAGAAAAGGCTATTTCACCTCCTTCCCATCCCAGCGCTGGGGTCCATGCCTCCCCACCTGCCCTTTGCCCAGACTTGGTGCATTAGAAACCCATACAAGTGACCATTGGGTGATAAGCTACTCCCCAGCCTTGCAACTTCAGGTTAATTTCAGTTTAGGAAAAATGAGCTCTGATGATCTCCATTCATCTGCTCATGTGGGCTGCCCCTGACCTTTAAACTCTAAGCAGAAGGGTCATGGGCACAGTTGTGCTGGGTCCTCTCTGGTAACCTCCACAACCAGGAGCTGCCTTCTTGCAGCTGTCCTGGGACAAGGCTAGGCTCTCATCCAGGTCATGGGACTCACACTGACCGAGTTCCCCAACCAGCTCCCCTTGTCCTAGCTGTGTGTCCTTGGGCAGACAAGCTGCTTGACCTCTCTGAGCCTTGGTTTCCTCCTCCAGGATAAGATGGATCCGGAAGAAAAGGTCACGTGGGAGGGAGGCATCACGTACCCTCACTGGCCAGATTTTTTAAGTGAAAAGTGAGGGGAAGCGATTGGAGGGGAGGAGGGGGATCCAGACGAGAGGGTGGAGGGCTCAGGGGCCTTGTCAGGAGACTAGGGCTCCCGGAGCGATGGGGGGCGGTGCCACAGAAGAGCATGGTTCCAGAATTCAGCCCCTCAAACCTCTAAGGATGCAGACTCCCTATTGTCCCTGTCTCCTGCAGGCTCGGGCCTGGTCTTCGCGGAATGACGGGGAGGCACGGGTACAGGCAACTTCTGTGTCTCTTTAATATCCTCTAGGCCCGTCCACCCCCTCCCACCCATCCACTTACCCGCACTTCCCGCCCCCGCGCCTCTAGCAGCGGAGGCCGGGACCCCTCCCCCCCAGCCCAAGGACTAAGGCACCAGGTGGCTGCAGCAGGCCTGCCCGGACACAGACACAAAGGGGGCGGGGTACACACTGACTGCGAACGCGGATGAGCAGGGGGACATTGTGGGACAGGAATGAGGCCGCCGCGGAGCTCCCACAGCCTCTGGGCCAGGGGGATCCAGCCAGCCCGCGAAGTGGCCCGTGGGAAGAGGGGAGACCAGGCGGGCCCCTCACTTGCTGCCCTTGCGAGACAGACACCGCGGGAGGCAGGAGAAAGTCTGCTTGACCCGCGCCAGCAGCGGCAGCGGCCGGTGGGCGTCCCGCGGCGCGCGCGGCACCAGGCGCTGCAGGGTCCCCTCCGAGGCGGTGGCGTGCGACGCGGACGACGCGGCCGAGGTCACCGAGCCCTGGCGGCAGCGCTTGCACAGTGGCAGCAGCGCGCGCAAGTCCTCCTCGTCGCGGAACGGGCTCTCTCCGAAGCGCTCCTCCAGCTGCCGGCGGATCTGCGATGGCGTGCGCGGGGCCACGGGTCAAGGTCCGGCCCCCATCCGCCATCCCCACGACCCCCACCCGGTTCGGCCCCTGACCCCCCTCCCCATGGAGCATCCTCCGCCTCTCTTCTCGGAGTTTCCAACCCTCACGGGATTCCCCTCCCCGTCTGTGCACCCCTTTTCTTTGCCTGAACCCCTGCTTCTCCTCTCCATCTTCCAGCCTCGCAAAGTGGGGGTCGTGTTACGCTCCCCCACCCCCGTACCCCGGGCCTCTCGGCTATCCACACTCCAGCGCTCAACACCAGCTCACCCAATGGCCTCTTCCTTGTCTGCTTCTTCTAGATCTGCCCTGCAGATCTGCCTCCTGGCAAGAACCTTCCAGCACTCTGGGCTTCCTCCCCTCTCTTCTCACTCTTCCCTCTTTCCCTCTCTCACCCGTAGTTCCCAGGGTGACCTCAATTCCTTCAAATCCTGACACTTCCGTGTTCTGTCTGCCCAGGAGTGGTAAGGCAAAGGACTACTTTGGCCTCAGAAATACCCAGGGCTGGAGTAGGGCACCGACAAGCCTCCCCAGAATGGTCAAGCACTCAAATGCATTGTGCGGGAAAACCTGGTCAAGGGGCAGGGCCCACTGGTCTGATCTAAACACATCCAAATTGTCAGTTAAAGAAGAAAAATCAGGCTGGGTGTGTTGGAACACACCTATAATCCCAGCACTTGGGAGGCTGAGGCAGAAGGATCACAGAATTCAGGGTCAGCCTGGGCTACACAGCAAGACCCTGACTCTAAAAAATGAAAGGAAAAGAAGGGAAGGGGAAGGGAGGGAAGGAAAGGGAAAAGGAAAAACAAAACATCTGCCTGTTAAGACAACTACATCCAGGAGCTGTATTAGCTCAAGGTCACAAGTTTGAGATTCCAGAAAAAATCTCCAGCCAGGTGTAAAGCACAGCCTGAATTCTTTCCAACGGGAGCAAGAGTCTCCTCCTGGCCCACCCAGCCCTGCCCAGCCCTACCTTCCTGGAATTCCCCCAGCCAAACTCTTCAAGCTGCTGCCTGAAGCCTGGGTTGGGGTTGGCGATGGGCCGGGTGGCCTTGATGGCTTCCAGCACTTCCCGCCAGCCTAGCCCGGTCACTGTCATCACATAGGCCGTCACAATGGTGGTGCTGCGAGAGATGCCTGCAAAGCTGGATCACCAACAACCCCAGGCTTCAGGTAGGGTTCGATTCCCTCTGTCGTTCTCTTCCCCACCCACCCCCATGCACCTCCTCTCCACTTCACCTCCCACACCCAGCTTCCCACACCTGAGCTCCAACTACAGGAATCAACTAAGACCTGTCATCCCAGATTCAGGCCTTTGTCTGTGAGGTTCCTACCCTCTGCTGGGTATTCTCTCTCCCATATCAAGGCCTGGCTGAAACATCATTCATTCATTCAACAGACATTTCCTGATCATCTTTTCTTTCTCAAACACTGGGAATATAGTGAGGAGTGAAACAGACATGGTCTCTGTGTCCTGGAGCTTACAATGTGATTGAAGGAGATGGATGCAAGTTACAGAAGCAATTTCAGCTGTTGATAACTGCTTTGAAGCTGAGTCTGGGGCTACAAAATCCACACAGCAAAACTATTACTCTAGTGATGGTGGGAGGGGTGTTATGTAAGAGTTTCCCTAGGAAGTGAGTCCTTGAAAGGTAGGTAAGAATTAGTCAAGAGCTGGATGTGGTGGTGAACATGGGAGGTGGAGATAGGGAGGGTCATGGTTTGAGGCCACCATCTCAACCAACAAGCCTGGTATGGTGACATGTGCCTGTGGTTCCAGCTGGGAGGCCATAGACAAGAGGATTTCGGTTTGAAGCTGGCCCTGGGCAGAAAGTGAGACCCAATCTGAAAAAAGCAAAAAAGAGCTGGGGACATGGTGCAAGTATTAGAGCACCTGCCTGGCAAGCTCAAGGCCCTGAGTTCAAACCTTAGTACTGCAAAAAAAAAAAAAGAAAAAATAAAAGTCCTAGGACTGGCTGGGGATGTAGCTCAATGGTGGAGCACTTGCCTAGAGTGTGTGAGGCCCTGAGTTAGATTCTCAGCACTGTAAAAATAAATAAATAAAGACAAAAGTATTCTAGACATGAGATGGGCAGCTGGTGGATTTGAAGAATGGGGAGGAGGTTAGTGTGGCTGAGATGGGGAAAGGAGGAGAGACAAGACTTGAAAGAGCCATTCTCTGGCCCCAGGGAGCCTGAGCCTGGCACAGGACAGGTGCTCAGTGAGAAGTTATGGAATGAGCGACACCAAATGGGCAGGGGTACCTGAGACGATTCAGAGGTCCCATCTCCCAGCCTGAGGTTCCCACCACCCCTGCCACAAAGGCCTGGAGGGGAAGAGAAGGGAGCCAGAATGAATGGGCTGTCTTTACCCCATCTCTCTCTACAGCCCTCTCAGCTCAACCTTCTTCCCCCCCACCCTTTACAGATGAGGGACCTGATCTCAAGGAGCCAGCTGGCAAGAACAGAGACCCTGGTCGGCCTCTTGGGGTAAAAGGTGAACTTCCAGTGTTGTGGCAGGCTTCCTCCTTCCTCATAGGATGTGCTCAGACAGAGGCAGTCCCTCACCTAGTGCTCCCAGCACTCACCAGTGCACAAGGCAGTTCCCCCCATTGACACGGCAACAATGGATGAAGTTGATACATTCTTTGAAGTGCTTTTTGCTAGAAAAGAAAGCAATAGGATAGGGAGTACTGGGGGCAAGACTCTTAGGAGTTGCCCCCTCCCCACTTACAGGATCGAAAGGGTCAAAGAGCCCTGGGGTCCTCAGATGAGCTCGCATGTGCAGTGAATAGGGCAATGCTGTAGGAGGCAGGGGTAGTGTGTGGCTCTGATTGTGGCAGGGAGACAGTGAGAGGCCAGCCCCTCCATCTAGGCAGGTACCCTTCCAGTGGGTCCTAAGGATCTGGTTCACTGTGGCTTTATTTTGGTCTTTTAAACAAATGTGTAGGGGTGCACTCCTCTGGGGTCTACATTTGGAGCATCTAGAACAACGATGGTCAGCAATGGGCTGGGAGAAGATCCCCAAGGGCGGGGTTCACTCTGGGTCTGTTCCAAGCTAGGGGCACTTATGCTAATAATCCAAACAAAACTGTTTTTCTGAGACCCTGTGACACACCAGGCCCTGTCCAAGATGCTCAGCCTGTGTCATCTGATCTTTGCAAGCTTCCTTGACTGTGATCACATCCCTGTTTTACAAATGAGACTCAGAGAAGGGAAGTGATTAGTCCAAGGTCACATAGCAGTTAATGGCAAAGCCTGGCCAGGAACCAGATGTCTTAACTCCAAGGCCAGAAACAGGCTGAGCCTGGCCCTTTCAATCTGCTGGTGTATCTGGTCCCAAAAGACAGGGCACTTTTTCTACCATTCCACAGCTGAGGAGGGCTGAGGCTCAGGAGGTTGACAGTCTTGGCCAGAGGCATATGGCAAGGGCACGGTTAAGATAGAGTCAAACTTGGGTTCAGTGCCCTGTGACAGCTTTCTAGCTTGAGCATTCTCTGTCCTCCCTCAGACCCCCCCCCCACAACCCCACCACAGGAAGTAGCTATCTGTCCATGTGTTGGCCCATCCAGGGGGACTTACATGAGTACCTCAGGGGTATCAGCCACTGGGATGCGAAGGTAGGTGATATCCTGCAAATACAAATCACACTCAGGTGGTGGTGGTGGGGAACTTGCCTGTACCACCTCCTTCCCCTAGCCTGAGCTGCCCAGCTCCTGGGCCTCTCTGGGCCATTGTTATTGTTCTGTTTCTCCCTAGAGTAGACACTATCTCTGCAGGCCTCTCAGCTTTGTCTATGATTTCAGGGCTTTCTGAGCAGACAGTGTTTTTTTGACCCATAGGTGACATGGACACGAGAACTTGATAAGGACTAAGGAAACTTTAATCTAATAGCCGGGAAAGGGCTTCTTAACATCACTCCCCCAAGCAGGGATCTTACAAAATTACACAGTGAAAAGGGCACAGTAGATTTGATTATCTTGAAAAGAAGTAAAAATTATAAAAGCAATAGCTAAGCATGGTGACCAATGCCTGTAACTCTAGCACTCAGGAGGCTAAGGCAGGAGGATTGAGAGTTCAAGGCCAGCCAGGGCTACACAGTGAGACTCTGTCACAAAAAAATTATAAAGTGGGGAGGGGGGAGTTTATATTTCATGAATTACGGCTAGAAGATAATTACTAGTTATTACAATAATCAAGAAGTAGTAATTTTGTCTAACACACTTGCTATGATATCCTTTGCTTCATGCTTAACCTCCATACAACATTGTAACGATGACTCTAACCACATTCCAAGGACCTTATTACCTTTCTCAGGGAAAAGCAGTACTTCCATACTTAAAAATACGAGGTGGCCCTTTGCCTGGCCCACCCCTGGCTGTGGCTAAGGGACCACGTCTAGGTCCTTATTTGTCCATGGCATTGTGTGAGCCTCTGGCCCTTCTCTGTCTAACTCACATTCCTCAAGGTCGTGAAATTCTGCATGGTTTGCAAGGTTTGCAGTTTCACATTGTCTCACATTTGGCCTTGGGTGTGCATGAGATTTTCAAACTCTGACTGCTGAATTCCCTGATGGATGGGAGGGAGGGACGCAGGTGAGGAGGCTGTTGGGTGGGGACTCATTTTGTAAGCGGTCATGTCATTGGTAAACATACTAATAACTTGACAGCCTCCCATGCAATCTATTTGCACCACATACTCTAAAATCCAGGCTGCCCTAAAAAGCAAAATCAGGCTCCAGTGGCCTGGAAACTTCTTTAGTACTGAGAGTCATAGATTATTGGAAGCTGCCCTTAGAGACCATCAAATCTGATAGGTGAAAAACACTGAGGCCAAGAGAAGGCAAAGCCCTGGCCCAAAGTCACACAGCCAGTCTGTGGCAGGATCTGCTTTTGATCTCAGATCTCCTGAGCCTTTTTCCACCCACAGTTCATACCCTTCAGTGGATGACACAGACTAACAGGTAAGGAAGAAGGGGGTCTGTTTATGGGATAAACACTGGGGGTCTGGATTTCCTTCTTTCTTCCTTGAAGTCCTGACACCCTCACCCCCTTTCCTAGGACTCACTTATACTAGCACCAACCCTCCAGTGCATCTTCACTATCCTGCAGTTCCTTTGCATCTCACAATAGCTCTCTGAAGGTAGTCAGGGCTGAGGGATCAAAAGCCCAGAGAGGTGAAGTCACAGCCTGAAGTTTCACAGCAAGACACAGAGTCAGCTGTTTGGAATCATCCATCTAGTTGGGCAATGGGAAACCTAGAGACTTTTTAAGGTTTGGGGAGAGATCTCTTTAGTACAGGCCAGATGGCCTGTACTAAAATCCTAGCTAGCCAGCTTTTTGGATGCATGTCCTTAGGTGAGTTAATTTACCTCTTTGAGTTGCCAAATAGGGATAATACAAAACAATCCAGTGAGGAGATGGAATGAGTCAAGAAGGCAGCCCTGGGGCTGGGGATATAGCTCAGTGGTAGAGAGTTTGTCTAGCATGTTTGAGTCCCTGAATTCAATCCCCAGTACCAAAAAAAAAAAAAAAAAAAAAGGCAGCCCCGGACCTAGCACACAGTAGGTACATGATAAATGGGTGCAGCCCCCCTCCCCACCTGTGCAGCCCTGGGATGGAAGATTCAAGTACCTGCATCAAAGGCTGGGGTGACTCATGGATAGATATGATGTGTGTAATCTTATTCCGTCCCAGCTGATCCAGGTCTTTGGCATCTGAAAGAAACAGGATGCTTGAGCCAAGCTCGCAGTTGTGACTTACTTGCTGCTGATTGCCAAGTGCAGTGAAAGCCAGCATCCGGTGCTTCTCACCTCTCCCACCTCACCTGGCCCACCCTCTGCTGACTGCCTGCTCCTGTCTCACCTCTGGCTCTGAGCATAACAGGTCCTGTACACCTTGAGGTTTCTGTCTTGTCTCAGGGCACCCGCAAGACTGGGCCCATACCACCCCCTGCCCCCAGCCTTGCTCATGCTGTTCTTCCATTCCCATGCACATCCCCAAACACCATTCCCCAGCACATCCTTCCACCTAGCAATTCTACTGCTAGGAATCTGTGTACAGAAGTGTTGGCGCACAGAAGGCTGTGCGGGGAGGCTGGTGTTCTCTTCAACAGCGTTCATCTCAGAAACAGTTAAATGACAGGAGCAACTGAATGTCCAACAGGGCCTGGGTGAAAAAATGGCATATCTATACTTTGGAATCCTGTGTAACAATTAAAACGATCTCTATGTGCTGATGTGTAAAGATGTCCACAATATATCTTTAAGTGGGAAACACAGCTTCCAGAACAGTGTATGGAATGGGTTTCCTTTTTTGCTTTAAATGCTATATCTGTATCTAAGACACATGAAAAATGACCCAGGGCTGAATCTCACCGTGCTATCAGTGGTCACGTCTAGGAGCTGGATGTCCAGTATGTGCAGAACTTTTTTATTATCATGGTGAATAACATGTAGTTGCTCTTTTTCCATATACCCATGTCTTCACTCCACAAACATGCCCTCAGTGCTCATTGTGAGCAGTCATTGGCTGGGCACTGGGGGCCTGGGGCCAACTTCACACATCCTGTCCCCATGGAACTGAACCTAATTTGGCCAAATACTCACAGAAATCAACGTGGTAGGAGCTGCTGAGGTAGCTCCCAGGAAGGAAGGGACCAGGGCATATGCTGGTAGAGCACCTGGGCTCTCTCTCTCTTCCTTTTTCATCTTGGGTCCCCCAAGTACTGGGACAGCTTGCCTCAGCGCATTTTCTACCACTCAGTCAAAGGTCTGTGCTTAGCTCTGGCTCCCCACCACCAGCCTGGAAACCCCTGAACACTGGGGTGGGGTGGCTTACATCTTTGCCCCTGCCCCCAGGAAAGGTGATAGAGGGATATATAAGAGAAGGGAGAAGGCAGAAACTTGTAGGCTTGCCACTCCCTGGCACCAGGCTACCTAGCTATTCCTCTTGGGCTCAGAACTCAGCTTACAGGAGAGTCCAGCCCATTTCCTCTCCTAGAGGACAGGAGACTGGGGCAGGGGGAGTTCCCAGCTTCCCACTTGAAAGTAGCACCCTTAAGCAAACATTGACCCAGAACCTCAAGCTGAAAGAGCCTTCAGGGGCTGGTGGCCCTTGTGCAGAGGTGGTGGCTGAGACTCAGAGCAGACTAGCCCAGGTCCTCAGATCAGCCCCCAAGCCCTTGGTGCTGCCCTTTGACCTGTTGTTGGAAAACAGATGGAAGACTGAACCCGAGAAAGATGTCAGCATCAGATCCCTACACTCCTGTTCTGCCCCTTCAAGTCTGGATATCCCTGCCCATGCACTTCCTATCTCCCATAAGCCCTTTCCTCTCCCAGTCTGGCATGGCTTTCCTGCCCCCGTCTCCATTCCTGACAGCCTTTGAGGTGCGTGGGCCCCACATGAATGGTGGACACAGGCCTGGGACCAGCAGAGTGCCATGGCTTTGGGACAGAGTGGGCAGTGCTCACCAATGAAGTTTCCAAGGTAGAGTCCAGGAAGTACCTAGAGAAAGGACAGGCAGAGGTCAGCAGAGACAGGCTGTACCCCTTCCCCCACCCCTGGTAGCTGGGGGCGGTGTCCCTCAGTTCCTCTCTGTCCTGTGGGGGGACCTTGGGGAGCAATTTCCCTTCTTTGGCAATTTCCCTTCTTTGGTTCTGTGAGAGGGCCCTGAAGCTTGGGGAAAAGCAGGAGAGCAGGCAGGCAAGTTCACCAAAGGGACCAAGGGAGGCCAGTTTGGGGATGGGTGAGAGGGAAGAGGAGGAAGCTGAGGGACAGTGAGGGAGGGGCAGCAAATTCTAGGGGGAGAGCAAAGAGGAGGGGGCAAGGAGGGAGGTAGACTAAGGCAGGCACAGTTAGAGGGCCATGCAGAGGCAGCGAAGGAGGGACAGAGAAACAGCACCAGAGTTCAAGGAGTCAGAGTGGGGAGACAGACACAGAGACCCAGAAAGGCACTGGCAGACATACGGACTCTGGGAGTGACAGATGGCCAGAAAAAGACGCGGCAAGAGAGCCAGAAGCACACAGAGGGGACAGACACAGATAGGCAAAAGCAGACGGAGAGACAGACAGACAGACAGACGCGGACTGTGAGTGGCAGAGAGACGGAGATATGGATGCCCCCGGCTCAGAACAGGACCAGAAGGTCAGCGGCGGCCAGACCGACCTCGTCGGGCCGGGGCCGTGGCCCGCGGGACCCGGGCGGCCAGGTGAGGGCTGCGCGGTCCCCGCCCCCCTACCTTGGTCATGCCATTCCCCATGATCCCGGGGGCGGGGGGCCGGGCGCACCCCCAGCTCGCCGCCCGGAAAACGCTCGGGTCACTGCCGCCCTGATGGCCCAGGCCGGGCGCCTGCAGCCGGGCAGGGACCCTGGTGCCTGACGCCTGCGGCTCTGCCCGGCACTGCCCAGCCGCCGCGGCCAACGCCAGCCGACCCCCGACCCGGGAGGAAAATGATGGAGCCGCCGCAGCCGCCACCGCCGCAGGCTCCTCCTACCCCCTTGGTCATGTGGGGTCCCCCTCCCCCGTGGGTCGTGGCGGGGGGCTGGACAAAGCCCCAGTGTGCTGGGCCCACGGCCCGCGGGACAACGGCAGCTTGTTGAGGCCGCGTGGGACGCCACCTCCGGAGGTGGGGGCGGGGCGCTCCCCCCACCTGGCACTGTCAGGCGCGGGAGGAGGGGGGTACGTAGTAAAGAGCCCCCAGGTGGGGTCCAGACCCTCAGATTTGGGTTCCGGCTCTGCCTAGACCTTTCTGGGGCCCCAGGGAAAGCATTGTTTCTCGCTGCCTGCTTTTCTACAGAAACGTGATGGAGTTGGACTTGGATCACTAAGGGCTCTCTGCTCTTCAGTTTCTGTTCGCGACAAGAAAAACGGGTAAAGTCCCTCCATTACATCCCCCCATCCATGCAGCCAGTCTATCAGCCAGCCTCCTTCCTCTTCCACTCATCCAGCCGTCCAGGCTCCCACTCTCGTATTCATTCATTCACCCTCTGTATACTCATCCATTCTATCCATCCATCTATACATTATCTCCCATCCATCTATCCTATCCCATCCCACCCATCCATGAATCCATCCTCCCATCCATCCATCTATTCTCGCATCCATTCATCCATCCACTCATCTCATATCTATCCATCCCGCCATTCCTCCCTTCCATCCACTCTTGCCCCTATAAGAATGGTGCCATGTAAATAAGCTCTGCTAGTAGTGGCCCCAAGAAATCAGAGGTAAATTTGTGTAAACGAAAGTGTAAAAGGGTTTCAGTCACCTGGGTCCTGTGTTAGGAAACTACAACAGACTGTCTTTAGAGGCAAGACCAAGATTAAAGGCCCTGTTCACCTTTTACTTGCTGGGTGATGCTGGGGAAATCCCCACAAGGCCCCAACTGACCTGATCTGTATGTCTCAGGATGAGGAGATGAGCCCCTCCTGGCCACTAGGACCAAGCATGTAAAATAACAGACCAGACACCAGACACCTCTTACGGGGACTGAATAGAAGCAGTGGAACCAACTTTGTTCCTCCAGCCATTGCCTCCATCCTTTCATCTATAGCAGTAGGTGACTGCAGGGTAGCATTGGCACATGACTGCATTTAAGAAAAAAACTTTTCTTCATTGCTTAACTTCACAAGTGTACATGGGGCTGCCTGTTTCAGTTCTCTGTGTGCCAGGGTTCTCACACAAACCCAATTATTCAGCAAATACTTACTGAGCACCTACTCTACAGTAGGTACCAAGGATATAGCTATGCATTAGGAAGAGATAGTTCCTATCTTCATCCACTAATAGTTCTCAAGAGGAACAGGATGCAAGCCATGCATGTAGTTTAAATTTTTCTAGTTGTCATATTAAAACAAGTAGAAGCAAATGGTTAATAGTATTTTTATTTAACCCCAATATATCCAAGGTGTTATTGTTTCAGCATGTAGTCAGTATTTAAAAGTATTAGTGATATATTTAATGTCCTTTTTATTATATTAAGTCTTCAAAAATCTGGCATGAGGTTTATACTTTGAGCCCATCTCCATTCAGACAAGTCATATGTCAAAGGTTTAACAGCCGTATGTGGTTAGAAGGGAAAGGAAATAAGATAATAGACAAATAATGCATTTACAAAAGGTCACAGTTTTCCATGAAAGAGAGGGGGGAGGGGGACAGAAAGAACCTCCCTGAATGGATGACTTTCGAGTGGAGAGCTGGCATATAAGGAGGACCCAGCTGTTGGAAGAGTGGAGAGAATATTTCCAGCAGAAGAGATAGCCCTGCAAAATCCCTGTGGTGGGAACAGTGGCCTCTGTGAAGAGCCAGTGCAAATGGAGTGGAGGATGCTAAGGGGAGGTGGGAGAGATGCGGTTAAAGAGTGGAGTGGGGTGGGGGGTGAGCATGCAGGATCCTCTATAACCATGATTGGGGTTAATGTTGTTTTCTCCTTTATGTGACAGACAAATAGTGGGAAACTTTAACCAGGAGGCCATGACATCTGGTTTACATCTTACTTCCTCACTTGAGCTCCGAGGGTCTGTGAGGAGGCTACTGCGGCTGTGCAGCAAGAGAGGCTAGTGCCCTGGGACAGAGTAGACCAAGAAGTTGGAAAGAAGAAGAGGCACTCAGCATGTATGAATATGCAGGCAGGGCAGGGGACAGGCTTTGCAGATAGAGGTGAGGGGAAGGAAGGAATTCCAGGGTGGCTTCCAGGTTCCCTACCTTGAAAATCACTATCTGTACTACCACAGAAATGAGAGCAGGGTTAGTCACCAAATCAACACAGGGTTATTGGGCACCAAGCTACCCATGAAAAATTGAACCAAAGATGCACTGACATTGTCTTGGGCTTCCCAGAATGCCCTGCCTCTGGGTGGCATAAAGAAATACTGATAAAGCAGCCTCACTTCAGTCTTGCCCTTAGCAGCAATGTGAGCCTATGCAGGTGAGTGAGTGTCCCGGGTCTGCTTCCTTATCCTTAGAGGAGGCAATTCTAACAGCCCTTTGTACCTCCAGTTGGAGGTTAGGGGGAATGATCAAGCCACATGCATGAAAGAGGGGTTGGGGATTTAGCTCAGTGAAAGAGCTCTTGCCTGGCAAGTGTAAGGCCCTGAGTTTGGTCCCCAGCACCGGAAAAAAAAAAAAAAAAAAAGGAAAAAATAGAAAAAAAAAAAAAGCAAAACACATGCATGAAAGAACTATGTAGGTTAAAAGCCCTAAAAAAAAATGTAGTTATTAAACTTAACGCATTTAATAGCTATGTACTGTTTAGTCTTAGAAAGTGTTAGTTATTGTGAGTACAATTTTTCTTACATAAATCATGAAGTGACTGTCTTACAAAGCCAATAATCTGAAGATGCTAAAATGCAGGTCTCACCCTGTCATTCTCTTGCTTAAAACCCTTCAAAATAGTTGCTCCCTCAAGATGCCCATGCTATACTACTGGGGAACTCTATATTATGTAACATGGGAGGGGAAATTAAGGTTGCAGATGGAATTAAAGTTGCTAATCAGCTGACGTTGAGAAGGGAAGATCACTGTGGTTATCAGGTTGGATCCAATATAGTCACAAGGTCCTTGCAAATGAAAAAGGGAGGCAGAACAATAGGATCAGAGGGGAGGTAAGGACAAAAGCAGAGGGGGGAGTGGTGTGATTCTTAGTTTTAAAGATGGAAGGGTGTCATGAGCCAAGGAAGTTCTCATATCCCGGACTGTTTTTCACATCAAGATGGTAATGGGAGGGATGGGGTTGAAGTGGGAGGGGGCACCAGCTGCAGTGGCTCACTCCTGTAAACCCAGCTACTCAGGCAGAGGACATGGTTCAAAGCCGTCCTGGGCAAAAAGTTATTGAGACCCATCTCAAGAAACAAGCTAGAATGATGTTTCAAGCCTGTGATCCAGCTACTCTGGAGGCCTGTAGGTTGGAGGATAGAGGTCAGAGGCCAGCCCTGGGCAAAAACTCGAGACGCTGTCTGAAAAATAACTAAGAAATAAGTAAAGCAAAAGGGCCAAGGGTGTGTCTCAAGTGGTACAGTGTCTGCCTAACAAGTGTAAAGTCCTGAGTTCAAACCCCAGTAACTGCCGAAAAAAAAAAAAGAAAGAAAGAAAGATGGTAATAGAGCATCTATCTCAGGCACAATGGCAGATGTGATTTCTTTAGAAGACTTTTAACACACAATAAAATATAACAAATATCTTTGGAAATGGATAGCTGAGATTGTGTGTGGAGGCTGGTGGTAGAAGCAAGATCCCCAAAGACAAAAAAAAAAAAAAAAAAAAAAAAAAAAGAAACAAAATCCAGACTCGTCTCTAAGTGATTCTGATTCTTCATTTCCCCTGGGAGGAGGTAGCTCATTTCAGGAATAAGAGACTTCAGGAGTTACAGGTAGAAAATGCAAGGCAACAGATTCGCTTTCAGAAGAAACTCAGCCCTGCTGACACCTTCATTTTAGCCCAGAGAGACCCACTGCAGACTTCTGACCTCCAGAACTGTGACATACCATGTTCTCTCACCAATGCCCTTAGGAAGCCTGCTTATCATAGCCTTGTGGGATCTGGCGAGGGCTATGGTGACCTTCAGCATGTTGCTTAACTTCTCTTGGTCTCAGTTTCATCATCTATAAAAGGGGAGAAGAAAAGGTTAATAGTGTGGGTAAGCCAGAGGACATATTTAAGGCACTCTGTATGGGCACGCAGTGCCTCATCATTGTCCTCATCGCTGTCATGGAGCAATTGACAGGGTTAAGGAGCCTGGGTTCTGCTCCCCTCATTAGGGCCTTGTTTCCACATCTGTATAGAAAACACAAATGCACAGGTTCTTCAGCCTCATCTCTGCCCTCCTTGGCACTCTTTCCTGGCCACTTCCTCAAATGTGCTTCATGCTGTCTCTGACCTCGCCCATACCATTCTCTCTGCCTGCAAAGCCCTTCTGTTCCCTTTACCAGGCTAGCTCTCATTTCCTCCTGGAAATCTTGACTGACACCAATTAGACTTGTTGGATGCCAATTTGATGCTTTCCCACACTATCTAACCTGCTTCTGTTATGTTGTTTCTGTGACTTGTGTACTTTTCATTTGGGGAAAAAAATCTTAAATCCAGGTAAGGATATGCCTACTTTTTGCTTCAACTGTGTTTTTTTTTTAGTATAAAATAAAACATTCCAAATAAGTGGTTGAAGTCCCCTTTCCTGTCACCAATTCCTTCACTCTTTCCAGAGGCAACAATGCTCATGAACTTGATGTGTCTCTTTCGAGACCATGTTTTTAAAATTTTCAATGCCTATATATACCCATAAGAATAGAGAACATACTTTCATGTGTGTTTACAATGAACACAAATTGCAACCTTTACAAATTTTTTTTTGTCATGCAACACCTTCCTTTTATTCACTCAACAACGAATTGGGGGGATATTTCCATGTTGATAAAGATCTGGACAACTTTTATCACTGTATAATATCTCATTATTAGAATTTATCCCATCAGATCCATCATCTTACTAGTGGATATTTAGATTGTTTTCTAGCATTTTCTACTGTTATAAAGAATGTTGCAAAGGACATCCTCATATATGTAACCTATGGACAAGTGCAAAGAATTC